CTGTACTGTAGCGCTAAGCCGCTAAACCTCTAATGGGCTTGCTTCGCAAGACGAAAAAACCCGCAAGACGAAGAGACTCGCGGAACGGATTCTTTTCGTCTTGCGAGGCACCACTGTATCTGAAGAAGTGTGCATGCATACAAAAGCTTATACCCAGAAAAAACTTAGTTGGTCTCTAAGGTGCTACTGGACAATTTTTTTATTTTTTTATTTCGACTGCATCAGACCAACACGGCTACCTACCGGTACCTGAAAGTTGGATTATTATTTGTTGATGTTTAGTTTTGCTGTTGAGTATTGGATCCTAATGGATTGTTGAGTATCGCTTTGTTTGATGTAGGTTGTTTATGTTAGAATTATTGTGACTTTTTATACAGGATCTGTTTGCTACTATCAATGTTTGAAGTTTTATTATTATTCTAATGTGTGTTGGAAGCCACCCAGAGTGGTTGGGGCAACCCAGCCAGATGGGTGGGGTATAACTATAAATTATTATTATTTGATTTCCCCACCCTTGTTCCTGATGTAGATCTTCACTCACCCCAAGTTCTCGATGTAGATTTTTATTCCCTCCTTGTTCCTGATGTAGATCTTCACTCACCCCAAGTTCTCGATGTAGATCTTTATTCCCTCCTTGTTCCTGATGTAGATCTTCACTGAATCCTCCTTCTCTGGCTGGGGAAGTGCCATTGTGTGCTACAAAAAATGTCTTGGGCTAGCCCGGCACAAACCTCAGCCATTTCTCAAAATCACAATTTTCCTCTCAGTTCCCTCCATCCCTGATTTACTTAAACTTCTGTTACCATTTTAAACCATTACTTTTCCCCTTTCCGTGTCCTTCCCTTCTTGCTCCCATGTCATGGCCACTGCTGTTGTGCAACTGGCCTTCCCTTTTGCTCCCTTAACCTGATCTTTACTTCATGCAAAATCCTCCTATGGGGCTTTGCAATGACATTCTTATAGCTCTTTCTCTCTCTGTGTCTCTCTGTGTGTGTTAGTCTACATAATTGTACAGGGCAAGAGTCTCTGATCTAAAATCTTACTAAAAGTTTATTTTATATTTTAAAATTTAAGTGTGGAGAACCAGAGGGAGACTGGGCTACAACCAAAGCACATTTCACTTACAACCACAGTCTGCAATGCATTGTATCTAAACAAACCCTCTCTTTTAGGAAAACAAGAATGAAATTTCCCCTGGGGAGGGGGAAGTACCAAAGAAATTAGTTTTTAAAATTCAAATTAGTGCTGTTTTGTAAACAAAGCTGTCTTTCCTATTAGTATTCCCATCTGTGGGGCTATAAACTGTTAGCAAGCAAGCTTCTGCTTATATTTTATTGTCTTGTTATCAGAATTAAGTTGGCCTTCTGAATACATTTAAAATGAAAGCACTGTGATTGTTCTCCCCCTCCCTTGGAAAACTATTGGATGAGAAATGCTAATTACTGTTCTTAACAAGCTGAAATATCTATAAAACTTTTCGGTCTACATTTGCTTTTCCGCAACCTGCCAGGGGCCACATAAAAAGGTGGGTGAGGACAGAGACTAAAGAGGGCAGAGCAATTCTCCCACACAGTGGCGTAGTGTTGGGGGGGGGCAAAGTGGCGGTTGCCCCGAATGCAAAATTGTTAGGGGGCACAAAATTTCAACCCCCAGTGCTGCCTTGATACAGCTGCCTGCTTCTGTCACTGAGCTACATTGAAAGCAGCTTCTCCATGTGAACCAGGAAGTGACGTCTCCAGACAATGGAATAACTCATATAATAATAATGTTATTATTTACACTTCGCCCATCTCGCTGGGTTGCCCAGCCACTCATGTTTTCTTATCTCTGCAGCTGTGATCTTCTGGGTGACATGGACGCCATTAGGCAGTTGAATGTGCATGCACATTCCCCCTTCCTCTGTGCGGCCACGGGGCACAGGCAACCCACTCCACAGCTCCCACAGCGCAGGAAGCACTTGCCTAAATTAATGGGTAGCTTCATTTCTTGTTGCTTGAAATCTGTGCATGATGATATCTTAGCAACATTAAAGCATATAATCTTTTAGCATATGCGGAAGTGTTAACTTCATTTCAGACTTGGAAGACTATACTTTTCAAAGCCACTAACAGTTGAGAAAGAAGTTTAAGAGCCAATATCTAAAATTGAAGTAGGGTACTTTGCTGTACTACCTATTAGTACTGTTGCAAGCCGCCCTAATCTCCACTGAGCAGTGCACAAGATTCCAGGGGTCTTGGCCTTCAACTAGGGTCTATGTCTCTTTGGGGAGAAATAAGGTGTGGCAGAATCTGCAGCATCTTTGAAATATGATTTATTAGCATAAATGTGCAATCTGGGTGTAGATGAAGGGAGTGCACAGTTTGCAGCTTTCTTATCGCAGGAGCATCTTGTCCTCCGCAAACCAGCATTGCGTTCTGAGACATCCTACATACCATGTATTTGTTCTTCCTTTTTGCCTCCACAGCAGCCCATGGAATTCTGCCCCACTCCTTCCCAGCAAACATTTAAGGTTTCAAAAAAGACAAATTTTCCCATGACATTATGTCTCCATCATCTTGGCAACTTGCCAATTCTCCTGTCCCTGCCAACTCCTGTGGGGACAGTTGTTTTGCATTGCCAGTGGCCCATAATGGCTCAGTATTTGGTTCCCCATCCACTGTAGACGATGCCCTGATGGATCGAATCTGTCTGCAACGGCATCTCCTTGCCAAGCCAGACCTCACGCTGCAGAAAGCCATTGAGGAGGCCGTGGCCTCAGAAGCTGCTGAACTCTCTGCCCAGGAAATCCGCATCTTGCTAGGGAACCAGTCCCGTGCCAAGTGTCGGTTCAGAGACGCCATCTGTCGGCGATGTTCCAGGAGGTGCCACATCGCTAAGGTCTGTTGATCGTCTCCGTCTAACACCCCCCCTCGCTATATCGCAAGTCCAAGTCTTTCCCCGGTCCGCCAAGGGAAGCTGCTTCGCCCTCACCAACTGCCACTGCCCGTCCGGAACCATGATTGGCCAAACTGACTCGCCTACGCATCACAAGCTACATGTCACCGTACTCATCGAAGGAGCTCTGTGTGACATGGAGATTGACACCAGGTCTGCCTTGTCCGCACCGGCATCAACTGCATCTCTGACGCAGAGGGTGATGGCCTAATCAAAGACGTTGCTGTATGTAATGGAACCACTATGATTGTAACTAATGCCTTGTCTCAGAGGGGAGGGGTGTTATGTATTGAAGTTCTCACCCTGGCCACTAGGAGTATCATGTATATAGTTTTCACTCAGGTCCACGTCAGTTACTTTAGGCGGGAAACCCTGGGTTGTTGTTGCTACAGTGGTGCCTCGCAAGACGAAATTAATTCGTTCCGCGAGTTTTTTCGTCTAGCGAATTTTTCGTCTTGCGAAGCACGGTTTCCCATAGGAATGCATTGAAATTCAATTAATGCGTTCCTATGGTCAAAAAAAGTCCAAACAAAGCCAAATTTGGTACAACAAGAGTTTATTAACTGCTCTTTAAAGTCACACATACTTTAAAGAGCATATCAAAATTGAAGGAACAATAAATTAAGTTTCTAAACATGACAGGAAAAACATTTAAAAATCAAAAAGGGTACATTACATTTTCTAAGACTCTGGGGACCACTCGAAGAAGGTTCCTCTTCCACTCTTTGCTTCTTGCTGAGGAACCTGTCCATGGTCTGCTGCTTCATCCGCCTTTTCAGCAGCTCCCTGAGAGGCAACATGACCGTCGTATCAAAAATGTTCGCTTGGTCATGTGCCACGTGCTTGTCAGGGTGGTGCCGCTCTGCAAAAGCCTGCACCTCCTTCCACTTCTGGCAAATGTCCCTCAGTTCTTTGGAGGACGGCCGTTCCTCAGTTGCTTCCTCCTCTTCCAGCGAGGCCTGCTCCTGCGCAACCTCTGACTGCAGTTCAACCAGCTCCTGGGTGGTCAGCTCGTGGTCGTGCTCCTCCACCAGCTCGCAGACGTCCTCCTCTGTGACCTCCAGGCCCATGGTCCTCCCCAAGGCAACAATGTCCTGCACCACTGTCGACTCTGGTGCATCAGAGTCACTTGGTGCCACACAGTCCGGCCACAGGCTGCGCCAAGCGCAATTCAAATTTCTCTGGCTGATCCCCTTCCAGGCCGTGGTGATCATCTTCAAGCAGGTGACGATGTCGAAGTGGTCCTTCCAGAATTCCCGCAGGGTGATGGTGGTGCAATCAATCACCTCGAAGCATCGCCTGAAAAGCTCCTTGGTGTAGAGTTTCTTGAAATTGGCGATGACCTGCTGATCCATCGGCTGGAGCAGTGGCGTGGTGTCAGGCGGCAGGAACATGATGTTGATGAAGCTGAACTCCTCCAACAAGTCCACCTCAAGGCCTTTAGGATGAGCAGGAGCATTGTCCATCAGAAGCAAAGCCTTCAGCGGCAGGTCATTGTCCAGCAGGTACTGTTTGACAGCAGGGCCAAAGGCAAGATTGACCCAGTCCACAAACAGCACACGTGTGACCCAAGCCTTGCTGTTGGATTGCCACATGACACTCAGCCGCTCCTTGTCGACCTTGTGTTTCTTGAAGGCCCGTGGGTTCTCCGAGTGGTACACCAGCAGGGGCTTGATCTTCAGGTCGCCGCTTGCGTTGGCACAGAAGAGCAGGGTCAGACGGTCCTTCATGGGCTTGTGGCCAGGCAACTTGGCCTCCTCCTGTGTGAGGAAAGTCCTTTTGGGCATCCTCTTCCAAAACAGCCCGGTCTCGTCGCAGTTGAAGACCTGCTGTGGAACGTAGCCCTCCGTCTTCACAACCTCCAGGAACTCCAAGGCAAAGTCTTCAGCCGCAGGAACATCAGAACTGGCAGCCTCTCCATGCCTGACCACGCTGTGGATTCCGGATCTTGCCTTGAACCGGTCAAACCAGCCTCTGCTTGCCTTGAAGACTTCTGGCTCGGCCGAGGTTCCTGGCTGTTCCCGGATGAGGTCTGCGTGCAAGGCCTTGGCCTTCTCACAAATGACGGCCTCAGTCACTGTGTCCCCTGCACGCTGCTTCTCTTCTAACCAGATGAGCAGCAACTTCTCGACCTCCTCCAGAACAGCTGGGCGGTTCTTCACGATCCTGGTGACTCCCTTGGCTGCATCAGTCGCAAGGATCTTCTCCCTCATCTTCAGGATGGTCCCGATGGTCGATGGGTTCCTGCCGTACTTCTTGGCGAGGTCCGTCACACGCATTCCACCTTCGTGCTTCCGGATGATCTCCTTCTTCATCTCCAGCGTCACCTTCTCCTTCTTCCTCTCGCCGGGCTCCGCAGCAGCAGCAGTCTTCTTGGGTCCCATGGCAGCACAGCTGTTACCTTTGTAAACTCAGAAAAAGAAAAAAAAAAAACAGCAATTCAAACCCAGAACCAAGTCCTTGAATTCCAAACACCCAACCCAAAATCCAAAAACCCCGAAATTTTTTTTAAAAGTTTAACTTACGAAATGGCTGCAAATCACCAAAGTCTTCAAAATCCTCAAATGGCTGCAAAAGAAGTTTTGGGAAAGCTTTAAAAATCACCAAAGTCTTCAAAAACCTCAACTGTTCCCCCAGCCCCTCCCCAACTGTTGCAAACCCCTCCCCAACTCTTGCAAACCCCTCCTCAACTGTTCCCCCAGCCACCCAGCACACAGAAATTCAAAACCCAGAATTTTTTTTCAAAAAAAACCAACATGGCCCAATGGTCACAGAAAACCATAAAAATTCAAAAAAAAGCACACAAGCTCCCAGATTCTTGCAAACCCCTCCCCAGCTGTTTCCCCCAGCCACCCAGCACACAGAAATTTAAAACCCAGATGTTTTTTTTAAAAAAATAAACATGGCCCAATGGTCACAGAAAATCATAAAAATGCAGAAAAAAGACACACAAGCTCCCAGATTCTTGCAAACCCCTCCCCAGCTGTTCCCCCATCCACCCAGCACACAGAAATTCAAAAATTCAAAGCCAGATTTAAAAAAAAAAAAAAAAACATGGCCCAATGGTCACAGAAAATCATAAAATGCAGAAAAAAACCACACAAGCTCCCAGATTCTTGCAAACCCCTCCCCAACACCAAGTCCTTGAATTCTAAACACCCCAACCCAAAATCCAAAAAGCCCAAAAAAAGTTTCAAAAGTTTAACTTACCAAACAGCTGCAGAAGAAGTTTTGGAAAAGCTTCAAAAATCCAGCAAACTCTTTAAAAAGCTCAGAAAGGCCACCACACCGCGTGCAATGTGTTGCTCCTCAAGGTCAAGTCGCAACTGCACCTCTTCCAGCAATGCACCCTGGGTTTTAACGGTTTTACGAAAAAAGGAAACAAACTTGCAAGACGTTTTCGTCTTGCGAAGCAAGCCCATAGGGACATTCGTCTTGCGAAGCAACTCGAAAACGAAAAAACCTTTCGTCTTGCGAGTTTTTCGTCTTGCGAGGCGTTCGTCTTGCGGGGCACCACTGTACAATGTTGACAGCCGGCTGCCTATAAAAGCAGGCCGGCTGACCTGTTTGCTGTTCAGTTCTGTTCTGGCCTGTGAATAAACAAGAACTGTTTGAAGAATCACTGTGTCGTCTGATATGTTCACCCACAACTTAACAGTTTGTGTGTCTTATCTTGTGTGTCTTTACCGTATGTGATGTCACGAAACACTCTTGTCTGTCATAATGCTAATTTCTCATTGTGATGGAGCAGATCGTTTTCCCCATTCAGAGCCCCTCCAAACTGATGTTTTTTTATGTTTCAGGATTTCAGCAGGAAGCAACAGGACATGCTGTAATGGGAAATGAAGCACGGTGTCCACCCCAAAACCTTTGTGGATGGAAACAGTAGGTAGAGCATGAGACTCTTCATCTCAGGGTTGTGGGTTTGAGCCCCACACTGGGCAAAGAGGAGGCTGGACTAGATGAGCCTTTGTGATTCTATATATTGAACTGTCTGGCTGGACTGAGAACTGGGGATGAAACATAAGGTTGGGTCTTGCCAGTGTGGTGTAGTGGTTAAGAGTGGTAGTCTCGTAATCTGGTGAACCGGGTTCGCGTCTCCACTCCTCCACATGCAGCTGCTGGGTGACCTTGGGCCAGTCACACTTCTCTGAAGTCTCTCAGCCCCACTCACCTCACAGAGTGTTTGTTGTGGGGGAGGAAGGGAAAGGAGAATGTTAGCCGCTTTGAGACTCCTTCGGGTAGTGATAAAGCGGGATATCAAATCCAAACTCCTCCTCCTCCTCCTCTACAATTCTGTGACTCTATTAGAAAAAGAAAACATCATGAACACAAATCATAATGAATGCACAATAAAAATGATGTCTGGAAGTGAACTCAGGTGGTTTTTGTATATTGCAGAATTCCCCCAACCCCTACACACACACACACACACACACACACACACACCTCTTCTATATTGGAATTAACATGCATAAATCACAGCAAGGATATATCTGCACCGGGAAGTCACTTCCAGTTTTCATTATGTGGAAAACAGCCTTTAGGTTGGAAACATTATGATGCAGTTAATGGACAATGGCCTTGCAAACTTTTTGAATGTTCCTTTTTCAGAGCTGTAATGGCTTTTCCCCAGTAGCATCTGAAGCCTGGTACAGCCTTCCTCTATCTATTCATTTATTTTCAAGTGTTCTGCCTGTGTTTCTGATACTGCAGTGCCCAGCAGACAAAAGGAGCTGTCTTCCCCTTTTCTCTGCAGCCCGCAAAAGCAATAGTACTGCTGTCCAATGTCAGGGCTTCTGTTTTAACCCTTCCCCCTATCAACACACAAGGGAGCCATATCGCTACATAACAAGGCACTGTAAATTAGCTTGCAAGTAAAATGATGGGATTGTCAGAAATGATGACCCACATTTTGATGAGCTATGCAGTTTGCCCATTTGTGATCTGCATCCACCGTGCCTTTTATTCTGCAGTCCTGCGTACATTTTAAGTAAGTCCAACGAAAGCAGTGAGTGTTATTTCTGAATAAACAGGCAGAGGAGTGTGCTAGAAGGCATTGGCCATCCCTTTTTAGGGCCCCTGGGGTGTGGAACCTGTTGCATCTCCTGATCTTGGTTACAACTCCCATCTTCTTTGATCACTGTCCATGGTGGTAGAGCTATTGGGAGTTAACAGTCCAACAACATCTGGAGGATGAAAGTTTATCCACCCCTGGACCAGGGCTACCATAAATCTTGTTGCATTCGTCAGAAAGGAGCTACCGTTGTCTAAGAAGTGGGATTGGTTCATGCAAAATGTGATCCCAATAAGAAGGATGAGAAACTTTCTTCTTGGAATAATAGGTTTGGAATTGCCCAAAAAAGATGTTAGATTGTTTTTGTATGCCACAACTGCTGCTAGAACTTTGCTGGCCAAAAATTGGAAATCACAAGAAGTACCAACAGTGGAGGAATGGCAGATGGTGGATTTTTCGGAGCTAGCCGACCTGACCGGAAGAGTCCGTGACCAGAAGGAGGAGGAGTACCAGGAGGATTGGAAGAAATTTAAAAACTATTTAGCTAAATATGCTAAGATAATTTAAATAGAAATACTTGCAAGTACCAGATTGGCCTAGGATTTAAATAAGTGATGTTACAGAATAATATGTTTAAAGTAAAAATGAAAAGAAAGAAAGATGTTAATCGATTAAGTAAATTACACATGAAAATAGTTTTGGAAAACTGTTACAATGATACACATTGAAATTCAGTCTGGGGGAGTCAAGGAAGTCACCCAACAATGTAATGAAAAATGGAATTATTATACTTAAGATTTTTGTTTGTTTGTTTGTTTGTTTGTTTGTTTATATGGAAATTCAATAAAAAAATTGGAGAGAAAAAAGGAGAATGAGAAACTTGCTTGCTCTGCTCTTCAGCTTTTAGTATCATCCTCCACAGTCACTCAAAATACACTCAAAGCCCTTGTTAGATCATAGAATTGTAGAGTTGGAAGGGACCACAAGGGTCATCTAGTCCAACCCCCATGCAATGCAGGAATCTTTTTGCCCAACATAGGGCTCAAACCTGTGACCCTGAAATTAATAGCCTCATGCTCTACCAACTGAGCTATCCTACAGATGTTGCGTTACATTGCACAGTGGCACGCCTAAGTTACAGTGATCTGCTTGCACATAATAGTCGTATCACGGGTAGATCATCTTTCTGTGGGGATTTCAAAACGATTTGCTCCTAAGCACAAAGAATTGTTTTTAAAAACAAGTTCTGAAAATTAAGTCAGAACAATTTTACACACACACAAACACACACACACACACACACACACACACACACAAGGGCACTGGCATGCAGGTGATGGCTGGGCTGCTCAGTTCATCATTCATGACGTCTCTGACATTTGCACAAACCCATTGCTTGTGACAACTGCCAAAGCAATGAAAACAGTATCTGGGGTAACAATGAATTGTTCAGAAAATAACCTGGGTGCAAACTTGTGTGAACTTAATGAATCTGAGAAAGTGGGACTTAAGTGTAATCTTCAGATATATATTTTGATGCAGCGCCAGATTCAACAAGGGTTGCGCACAAGGGTTTCCTCTAGCGCAAATGTGAGAGCAAGGTCGATGGTTCTATCTGGAAAGCTTAAACACTTGTGTTGACAAAATGCTAGCAAAATCTGCTATATATTTTGAAAAATGGTTTGTCCAGTCATCTATCCACCTGTTCGCTATAGGTTGAGACACCTCTTGAGACATCATTGCCAAACTTGGCCCTAGGGTTCAGAAGATGGGGGTGGCCATTTTCTGCAATGTTGGGGATTATGCTCATCCATAAATGTAAATCCATAAATCCATAAATGTAAAAGGGCAGAGTGGACAGATCCAAACCCAACACGCTAAAAAATATGGTCACAAAAAAAGGCCACAAACATAACTAATAAACCTGGCAGAATAAGGGCCAAAAGAATGGGTAGATTAAAATGGTTTTGGCCGGCATTTAGAAACAGAAAGGGATGGTGACAGCTGTGTCTCCCGGGTCAGAGCGTTCCACAAACAGGGAGCCACCACTGAGAAGGCCCATTCTTGTGTCACCAGCTGCAGCACCTCCCTCAGAGGAGGCATACAAAGTAGGGCCTCAGATGACAAATGCAAGGTCTGAGTTGGTTCATGTGGGGATAGGTGGTCTTTGAGGTAATCCGGTTCTGAGCTGCATAAGGCTTTATAGATCATAAAGACTTTTTTGAAGGTAGGGCTATAACTCAGTGGTAGACCACACACTTTGCCTGTAGGATGTGTAAGGTTCAACTCCTGGCATCTCCTCTCCCCTCCCCCCTTTCAAAAACTGGTAAGGTAACAGGTGATGTGCAATATGGCTGTTGCTACCAATCAGAGGACACAGTACTGAGATACAGTGGTACCTCGGGTTAAGTACTTAATTCATTCTGGAGGTCCGTTCTTAACCTGAAACTTCTTAATCTGAAGCACCACTTTAGCTAATGGGGCCTCCAGCTGCCACCGCGCCGCCAGAGCATGATTTCTGTTCTCATCCTGAAGCAAAGTTCTTAACCTGAAGCACTATTTCTGGGTTAGCGGAGTCTGTAACCTGAAGCGTATGTAACCTGAAGCGTATGTAACCCAAGGTACCACTGTATATGGACAAATGTTTTGACTTGGTATAAGGTGACATCACTGGATAGTGTAATTATCGTCTTCTACCAATAGGTGACAGTTATTCGTTTTGTAAGCCAAATAGACTATGTGGTTGGTGTACACCAGGGGTCCTCAAACTTTTAAAACAGGGCCAGTTCACTGTCCCTCAGACACTGTTGGGGACCGGCGCAGCGCGGCGGGGTTCTGCAATGGCCAGGCGGGCTGGATTTAGGACCTTGACGGGCCATAGTGAGAGGACCCCTGCTCTACTGCCACAGCACTGCGGGGTGCCATACCCTCCAAGAATCACTGATCCAAGTCATGATACACAGTTGTCACTAAGTGACAGCAGAAGGAGAGCCAAAGATCTCTGAAAACCAGTTGAAGGAGAGCCAAAGACAAGGGAGCCGGTGAAAAAGCCTTGCTTGCTTCTCTCCTTTGCTGCCTTCCATCTGTTTCTGACTTAATCCAGCCACCCCACCGCGCTCTGCCTACTGCAAGCAGTCCCTGTCGCCATCATTGCATCCTGAAGGCGGCCTAGCATCACACAGACCCCAAGCACAGCCTCTGGACAATTTTGAATGTGTCTTTCTGAGAATCACAATCCTGTAGTTTGGCCAATTCCATTTGGTGAATCGAATCAGCAATTTCTCCCTCGGTCTCCTTTCTCCCTGCCCCGATGTGTCCTGGCCTTGGGCCTCCACCTCCCCCAGGCTCCGTGGTAAACAAGAGCCCCCTTGTTTCCCCACCCCAGGTTTCCTGACCCCTTCGCTTCTCTGGGGGGGCCTTTCTCTCCATGGCACCGCGGGACAGTTTCTTCTCCAGCGAGGATGCCGCCATCTTCCCCTCCTCCCCCAGAGCCACTGGCGCTGTCGCCACCATGCAGCCAGAATACACAAACACCGCAGTGCGCGTGCACCGAAAGGACCAATCAGGCCACCATATTCTCCTCCTCCTCCTCTTCCCACCACAAAGGCTCAGCTCCAATTTTGCCCGCTGTGCCTGTTTTGCCTGCTTTTCCTCGCTTTATGCATGCGCAAGGGCACTAAAGCGCTGCCCGAGCTCAGTAACAACACGACCGCGCCATCAGTAATATTTTGGACGTTCTCCTTGCCAGTACTTGTGCATTTCGGGTGGGCCGCATTTAGGAGGCTGGCGGGCCGGATCCAGCCCGCGGACCATAGTTTGAGGACCCCTGGTGTACACTGTACAAATATCTCAACCCCCCCTGCCAAACCAAACCCTTTCATTTTGAAATAATCACCCTTATGTTTAAAATGAGATTGAAAACCAAAAATGGACTGGAGTTTTTCAAAGTGTACCCAAGAACAAATGAAATCCTAATAATAATGTATAGGGTCATTACTAGATAGGCATATGAATATTTAAATAGCGATGTAGAGGAGAGGAAGGAGTGTTTGATAAATATTTCCGTTCTCATTTGGAAAGAGGGAGAGTAATGCATTCATAATGCCATATAATGATGATTAACTACTTTATGATCCAGGCGTAATTAGGGAGGGTACTTATTGGCGCCCGCTAAGAAACATTTTCAGTCGGTATATCTCGCACTGAAGAGTTCTCAGAAGAACTTCCCTAGGAAGGATCTGGTCTACTGACATTAATCATGCAGTATGGAAGAAATTAGCTAGCAGGATGGACCCAAGTAATTATGCTCCAATTAGCACTGTATTGATCCAAGGGCAATTAGTTGAATGACTCAGGCTGCAATCCTAAACACTCTTACAAGGGAGTAAACTTGTCCTCCTATAGGTGAAAAAAAGTCAAAATTACAGATATACAACTAAAATGCAGTGGATGGACTGGGAAGCTGGGTTCATTCTATCAGTTCCACTGAAAGGCTAGTTCCATCCAGCCTTCTCGATGGGATAACTCTGTTGGTAGAGCATGAGACTCTTGATCTCAGGCTTGTGGGTCTGAGCCCCACATTGGGAGAGGATTAATTGTCATCTGGTAGCTACAATTCAGGCTGCCTCCTGGGAAGGAGTCATTATAACAACACCAGCTCCATCAGGTACCTTCTCCTTCAGCTGATTCCATTTGAGATGGTCATTGTAAGAACTGTTCTTTCAGAAGAACAGAAGCATAACCATCTGAACCCATCCCACTTACCATTCCCCTCTCCCCCTCTTTCCCTCTTTTCTTCCTAACAAAAAATAAATAAAAATAAATGCTTGATGAATTAAAAAAACCCTCTGTTCTATCCTGTTCCCCCTTTGTTTAAACCAATTCATGAACCAAGAACTTATACACTGAACACTAATACTGTAATAAACCATATGTTGTAGATATTACTCCACATTTATTATGCTTTTTTGTGATAGACAAATGACATGAGAAAACTTGGTATACTTATTTGTATAAAATTATTCTTGTGTATAAAACCCAATAAAAAGTTATTTTTTTAAAAAACTGTTCTTTAAGGATTGACACCTGAGTTTGCTTATCCCCCCTTCCCTTCCCCCCCTCACCGCTTTTGTGCCTTTTTTTTTTAGTTTGTAAAAGACATCTAATTGTATGTAAGCTGCTCTTTGAGACTTTTGGCTGAAGAGCGGGGTAGAAATGCTTTTTTAAAATATTTGATTGAGTTGAACTACACGTACCTCTCTGCCATACGCAGTGGGGTAATGGACAATGAAAGACCCGGAACTATTTTTGTAGCGGTTCTATTTCATGCCCAGTCGGCATGAAAGGGGGGCTTTTTTAGCCACTGCATTCTCCAAAGCTAGACTTTTAGGAACTCTGAAAACGCAAGGTGCTTCAATAGAGGAGTGTGCAAGTTGTTGTGTACTGTGGAACTTTGTGGAGAACACAGCGCAAGTCACTCGGAATGGAAGCAGTGGAGCGCTCCAAATCATTGGCCCATGGATGCACACGGAAAATACCGTAACAGATCTAGCTGAAAGGCAACGTGTGGAGATTTGCAGTGATTGTTGCAATGGATCCCTAATTAGAAGTATTGTGCAATTGTAAGACAGTTGTATAATCTAAGGATGTATAATTATATGTTTGTTGTATAATCTAAATTGTATAATCTAAGAAGGGGCATGGCTGAGAGGTATGTGGTCATGACTTTCATGAGAGGGCCACTCACTTCTGAATTTGCCACTACACTAATGATGTGTGGGTGTGTTAATGTAGATGGACACAAACCTATTGCAGGAGGCCCAGATTTAAGAAAAGGTTACAGTCTGGCACACTCCGTGCGTAGGATGGGCCTTAATTTCCTTGTGAGAGCAACTTCATACATTATAGCACCTGAAGGGACCAACTGCTGAAGGGACTTTTGTTGAGGTGAACAAGTGTAATAACTTACCTGAACCAGCTTGGGGCAACAGACAGAAAGGCAAGCTATTCTTCCCTTACTGATTCCTTATTGAGTAGCTGCCTGTAGATTGTCCTCTCTCAGGGTTTACTTCCTTCCTGCTTCTTCTCCAAGGCCCCCTCCAGACAGCACTTTTATTGTGAGTGCATATAATAACAAAGAGCTTGACTTCAATGTTCATTTCTAAGGGCTTCATTCTGGACCATCTGTTCCTCTTTCTCCTTGCAAGAGTTATAAAAAATTGGGGTTTCGCTTTTGCTGCCCAACTCCCCATGGGACTAAGTCCACGATCGGTCAGAGAAGAATGGATGGAGGCAGGATGCAGCAGGAAGCAAGGCAGGTATTTATTTTTTCTGTTGCAGCAGAGTCCCATCCCCTCCTTCCAAGGAGAGAGAGACCCTGAACAAAAGTGTGCAGGAACCTTTTAAAGACTTTTGACATTGCTCAACCCCCTTAGCCAAAGACCACCTCAAATTCATCATACACACATCATAGGAGGCAGTCCACAGCAGAAATCGTGCCTGCCAGGATACCTGATAATGGTTGCCGATTGCATAACCTGGGCAGTCTGGCCATTCTTTCGTGATGGTTAATACTTTAGTTCCTGAATCCAGGTCACAGGCTCACCCTAAAGGTAAATGGACCCCTGTCCATTAGGTCCAGTCGTGACCGACTCTGGGGTTGCGGCGCTCATCTCGCTTTATTGGCCGAGGGAGCCGGCATACAGCTTCCGGGTGATGTGGCCAGCATGACTAAGCCGCTTCTGGCGAACCAGAGCAGCGCACGGAAATGCCGTTTACCTTCCCACCAGAGCGGTACCTATTTATCTACTTGCACTTTGACGTGCTTTTGAACTGCTAGGTTGGCAGGAGCAGGAACCGAGTCGCGGGGATTCAAACCTTCTGATCAGCAAGTCCTAGGCTCTGTGGTTTAACCCATAGCACCCTACTAATACACAAATACGCCCTTAAGACAGGATTTGTAGGCGAAAAGATAATGGGAAGGTTTTCCCCATTTGTCTTCCTTACCGCAGAGGAATATTTGAAGTCATTGGGAGAGTCAAAATGGCTTAAGGATTGCTCTCCTGTACTAATTTCAGACACATGGTTTACAGTATATTTAGATATGTCAGCATTTATTAATATTTATTCTATATTTGAGACCTTAGAATTCTTAAAACACAAGATGTTCTTCTATTCTCCAGCATTATTGACTGCACTCCTGCCATTCCATTGTTTCCGTCACTGCTGACTGCCTTCACTGTTTTGTTTTTAAAAAAACAGCGGAAGTTTGTTGCACTGGGATTCCATGGGAGCTGTAATAAATGTAGGGGTTGCTCGTGCGCAAGTTGGTGCCACTCCTGGCTAGGTTGCCTTGTTAAACCTTTTCTATCTGGACAGCCCTGCACTTCGTGGCTGTTCAGTCGCTAGCAGAATCCGTCAGTGGGCGTTTCTTAAACCTTTTCCAGCATAAAAGCTGTTTGACTCCAAGTCTCCTCCTACTCTCCCTGCGCGGAAGCCTTCTGCGCAGGGAGGGCGTGGGTAGCGGAGGACCTGTGCTCTCCCCGCTGATCTCCGGCGAGGAGTCCTGGAGCCCCCTCGCCGATTCCCCCATCTGCCCCCCTTTATCCCTGGTGTTATGCTGATTTCTTTCCCCAGCTGGTGAGCTGCCTCTCCCCCTGCTGGGCCCTTCTCCAGCATCACTTGAGAGCCTAGCCTCCGCCTCTGGCTCCGATGTCAGTTCCCTGACAGGAGCCTACGCTCCCTATACAATTCTGCTTCAGTGTAAATGGGTTGTCTTTTTGAGGAAGGAGAAACAGATACAAATAAACCAAGCGGCGGTTCCAGAGGCATCCTGGCTTTTAGAGATGGACAGAAAGAAAGAGAGAGATTGTGTGAGAGGGCAAGGGTTGCAGTCAGGAATGGGGCCACCGACTCTCCTCTTAACTGCTGCTTTTATGACCAAAACAGTTTGAGGAAGACTCTGCTGTGTTTTCCTGAGCAGCAACAGCCAGGCTAGAAACCTGAGAAGGAGCTTATCTCAGAAAGGCTGAGGATGGATGACCAAAGGAGAACAAGCTAACGCTATATTGTGATTTATGGCAGCAGTATTTCTCACATGGCCTTTGAAGGCCAAAGGCAGCTCCTTTGAATTGTATATGAGGAGTGACTATCTTGAAATCATTAAAATTAATACTGGGAACTGTTATTGGAAACATTTAACGGTACAATGGCTTGATAAAATCTTTTTTTGTGATGAAATTAGGTGTTCCTTCAGGTTGCTGTAGATTGGAATCAATGCTCCAGTTTCATTAATACCAGTGAAACTAGGTTGATTACCCAGAGCTATTTGCTTGAGACATGATTCTTCAGCACACATGCTCTCTTCTTGAATTAGATGTGACTTGAGTGACTAGGTCAGCTTGTGGCTTATGATACGTGGGTGGAAGATCCCGTTTTTGAACCAGGATTTGATCCCTTTGGTTCCTCCCTACACATTGTGTCTCACTCGCTGGATCATCACCTTGTCGTGGTGAGTGGGCTTGCACGTTCCTATGACCCTTGTGAGCAAAGCCATAAGGAATCTCGTACTCCCAACAGGGTCACCCAAGGCAATAAGGTCAAAGGGAAGGAGCTAGACAAAGAATGATCCAAGAAGTCCTCAGCGGCAGAACAGGCAGATGATAACAAGCGGTATGTTACAATGGCTGTGAAGGCGGATGAAGGCTGCAACAGATAAGAATCTGCCGGTCGTCGTGACTTCTCATGCCATCAGAACAGAGCCCTACTGTGAAGACTCTGTGTTGGTCAGCGTGCACTGATCTACACACATAAAACAAATTCACGCACAGGCATCTTCCAAAAACCCATCCCAAACCCAAACCCCAAAAGTCCCATGGCGATCAACAAATGACAATGGGGGCAGGATCGTGAAATCTGGAAGCCCCTAGTCATGAACCGGCACATGGGCAGCGGATACAGATTCAGTCGTTCTGACTCAAGGAACGAGGCAGTTGAGCAGCTTGGCAGCTGTATCCATGACTGAGCAGCCCTTTTTAGGATCCACTCTGCTAACTCTGAAAAGGGGAGGGGCTAGAAAAGGTGCCCTAAACATAGTCTGCCTCCCTTTTTCCCTGACTGGATTACCGCGCCCAGTGGGGTCACCACCCAGTGGTCGTAAAAGACAACTGAACTTGTGGAACACGGAATATATGGACTTTGTCAGATAGCGAGTGTCCTGAATGCAGAATTGCCATCATTGCAAGAGAGCTGTGACGTTTTAACATCGATATTGCCGTGCTTCAAGAGACTCAAAGAGCAGGTGAGGGACAACAGATAGAAGAAAAAGGAGGCTACACATTCTTTTGGAAGGTCAAAGTACACAGGGGGTTGGACTCGATGGCCCTTGTGGTCTCTTCCAATTCTATGATTCTATGATTCTAAGTGAAAGGCTTGAGAGAATGGATAGCCCTTGAGTCCTTTTTAGAAAAAGTTAATAAACTAACAGTGCAATCCAACTACACGTACTCAGAAATATATCCTACTGATAAATACTGATGAGTGAAGGATTGCAGCCTACATAACCAGCCAACCATTATGAGACCAAGTAGTTATTCAAAGTAGTATGTGCCCGTCTGGATGAAAATACAAGCTTTATCTTCATCCCAAGGTGTTGGCTGTACAATTTCTTGCAATTCTCATTCAAATGAACTCTCCGCCTAATTTCACCATAAGGATTATATTTACATCAAGTCATTGCATCACCATGTAAATACAGTTTGTGGGTATTGTTTATTGTACTTTGATGTCCATTCTGACAATCCTTCTGTGGGTTTAAGAATGTTTTCATTCAGGGAGAGGGCAATGGTTTTAATTAAGGATTACTACATGAAAATTTCATAACACTTTGTTTAGCAAGGTAGTTAGAAGTGGAAATGAAATCTTTTAATAATAATTGTGTGTGTGTGCACGCGCTTTAATTTCTCAAGAGAGCTAGGCACACAGGTCGAACCAGAGCAAACAACGAGTGTGATACAGGCACAGCAATCCAAACTAAATCAATCCAGTATGCTTAGTGGCTGCCAACAATATTGTTGTTTAGTCATTTAGTCGTTTAGTCGTGTCCGACTCTTCGTGACCCCATGGACCAGAGCACGCCAGGCACTCCTGTCTTCCACTGCCTCCTGCAGTTTGGTCAGACTCATGTTGGTAGCTTCGAGAACACTGTCCAACCATCTCGTCCTCTGTCGTCCCCTTCTCCTTGTGCCCTCCATCTTTCCCAACATCAGGGTCTTTTCCAGGGAGTCTTCTCTTCTCATGACGTGGCCAAAGTATTGGAGCCTCAGCTTCACGATCTGTCCTTCCAGTGAGCACTCAGGGCTGATTTCCTTCAGAATGGATAGGTTTGATCTTCTTGCAGTCCACGGGGCTCTCAAGAGTCTCCTCCAGCACCATAATTCAAAAGCATCAATTCTTTGGCGATCAGCCTTCTTTATGGTCCAGCTTTCACTTCCATACATCACTACTGGGGAAACCATAGCTTACAATACGCTGCATCCAAACCCAGCTCAGTGTTGACTGATACTGACAACAGCCAGCAGAAAGTGCCTGAGCTCAGCGGAGGACCAAATATTTGCAGCATCTCTAATGCCACCGGACACATTGCCCACCAACTGCTTCACCCCAAACCCCACATCTCACGAGTTGTGCCAACAGCAACAATTGATCTAGTCTTGCTGCCAACACTACTGCTACTTGAGGGGGCACTCTCAGCATCAGGTGGTGGTCTGCCGCCCTCCACCAAGGGTACTGCCTTCTCCACTCTCTCTAAATAAATAAATACATCCCAAATTGATAACAAATCCAATCCAATCCAATCCAATCACAATACAAACAGATAAGACCAAGTTACATTTCAAATTAAAGAACATTTCAGAGGGGCTTCCCACGTTCTGGATGTCTGGAGAAATTGTCTCACACATCCCCCCCCCCCCGCGCTTTCTTCGCTGTTGTTATGCCCGTTTCCAAATTCCGATCTTAACCTCTCAAAATATCTTCAGTCGCCGGTGCATATCTCCTCTCATATTAAAGAAATCATTATGTCCATTCGCCTGCCGGAACACAGTTTAAGACATGTTGTTGTCCATCAGTAAGAATTCTCAGCGCTGTCTCCCTCCCAAATCTGGGCTGTTGTACAAGTCTGCTTCATTTACAGGTTAAAGACGCCGTAGGCTCTCAAGTTGTTTAACAAGCTCTTATTCCAACGTTTTTTTGTAGCCCATTTCCTGGGCTGACCTTGTGGATGGGGTCCACACCAGTTTTACCCGTGAGCATGTTTGGGGCTATTCTTTATAGTCATTAAGTCTGCTGCTGGGTTCCTGTTTGGGAGTGGAACCTAAGGAAACAGTATCAGTGGGAGCATCACTTCCTCACTGGTACGACAGTTGTTCCCCATAGTGCCCTACTTTGGAGGGCATAACCTGATTTGGATGCACTGCTCAAAAGAATTCGAAGAAACAAGTGCAAATACATCCCCATCTTCTTAAAAAAAGCAGTGGTTTTAAAGCACTGTACTGTCTTCACTTGTCAGTACAGAGCGGAGCATCAGAGTTAGCAATGCAGACATTAATGGAGATGAGTTTATCTTGAATTTACTGCTGGAATAAACGATCACTGCTTGAAAGTGAGCCGACACTGCAGTTATCCAGAGGTTATCTTCTTTAATCTAAAGATACTGCAATTGCAACACAGAATGCTGGCAGCCAAATGCTTTTGGAAGTCAAGTATAATGACTATATTACATCCATATTGTTCCAGTTGCATAGGCAACTACCTATTACTTTCCCAGCTCAATTTAAAGTGTTGCTTTTGACTGTTCCTCCCTTGCTTTGGATGCCAGGTTATTTAAAAGACCATGTGCACCCTTATGAGCCGGGCCCTGAAATGGGCTTGGGAGCATCTACTCTGTGGCCTGCCCTCAGGATTTTTCATCTTGGCCAGAGCAACGGGCCTTTTCAGTAGTGCTTGCACATCTTTGGAACCATGTCCTTTGTGCTTACCTTTAAACTGACCTTAAAATGCTTTTTGATTAACCTAGGATTTTATAGATGTTAGCTGCCACCATTTTTATGAAGTCAGTTTCGAATGATTTCAATGATGATTTTGATTACGTACTGTCACATGCTATTTTTTTACTCTAAACTTCTGAAAACCACCTTATTTTGTTTTATTGAAAATGATGTTTGAGAGGAAATAAAATTAATTTGAGAGGAAATGTGAACCCCACTGCAAAAGCATTTTAAAAATACAAATAAAAATTCCCCAAACCATAAAGGTAAAGGTACCCCTGACCGTTAGGTCCAGTCGCGGAAGACTCTGGTTGCGGCGCTCATCTCGCTTTATTGGCCAAGGGAGCCGGCGTACAGCTTCCGGGTCATGTGGCCAGCATGACTAAGCCGCTTCTGGCGAACCAGAGCAGAACATGGAAATGCTGTTTACCTTCCCACCGGAGCGGGACTGGTCGGCAAGCCCTAGGCTCTGTGGTTTAACCCACAGCACCACCATAGAGAGCACCTGACAAACTAAGACCCATGTCCACGAAAAACCAACGTCTTACTTAACAGGGTTGGCTCAGATATTTTGGTGCCTGAGGCAAACTACAAAATTGCAGCCTCCGCCCACCCTCCCTGCCAGTGAAGAAGGGCTGGGTGAAACAGGAGCAAAGGGGGAATAATATCTGGTTGGTCTGCCTAAAATCATTTTGTGATAAATTTAGCTATTTCTTCTCTGCTTTTGCATATCAAACAAAACAGACGTAATCTGAGATTTGGGGCTATAAGGAATATGAATCTTTTTAAAATTCAATTGACATAGTTTATACAAAAGAGTTTATTCTAGAAACTTAAAACATTTTTGTGTGCAGCAACTGTTCACTGCAAACGGCTGTGTCCCTGAGGGGCAGCCTCTGGCTGTGGAAACAAAAGACAGTTAAATCAAGAGAAGTTGCTTCACAAATCGTTTTTGTTGATTGTCGACTGCAGCAATAAAACTGCTATCACAACTTGCCAAAGCACAGCAGATGTGGTTTCAAACTGGATGTCGAGATTCCTGTGGGGTTGGACTAGATGACCCTGGGCTCCCCCAGCTCTACAACTCTATGATTCTATGTGATATACATTGGGATCTGCCCCGCTCCATGGATCCTGCCGCCTGAGGTGGCCAACTCACTTTGCCTCATGGGTGAGCTGGCCCTGCGCCTTAATAAATTGTGCTGGCCATAAACATTCCTGGATTGCTCTTTGGTTAGAGCGGGTGCTGATTTAACACCAAGGTGGCAGGTTCAATCCCTGTATGTGCCAGCTGCATGTTCCTGCATTGCAGGGTGTTGGACTAGATGACCCACAGGATCCCTTCCAACTTGACAGTTCTATAATTCCACCAAGGCTGCCCAATCAGGGCGATACCTCTCCTACAGGTGAGGTTTTGCAGGAGGGTTTGACATGTCTGGGTCGCTGATGGGCCAGGCCCAGGGCCAAGATTCCTACGTTAAGCAGGGGGAGGAGCCAGAAGGGGAGATGGGCGGAGCCACCGCTTGCGGGTTCCTATCGTTTTCCCGCTCTCCTAAACTGGCTTAACGGATAATGCAGTGGATAATTTGGGCGGCGGGAGGGGGCGGGGTCGCGCACGCGCGCCGCGCGGCGTGACAGCCTATAACTGCCGCGGGCCGCCGTGTTCGACCTTTCACCCTGACGCTGACGGCTCAACGCGGAAGCGCGATGGCGGCGGCAGAAGGGCCGGCAGGCGGCAAGAGCGGCGCTTCCCCGTCGGCTGCGCACCGGAGGCTGCGGATCCTCTCGGGCCACCTGAGGAGCGGGCCGCCGGAGGCGCACCTGTCCGCTGCCCAGTGCCGAGGGCGGGCGGCGCCGGCGCCGGCTCGCCCTCAGCCGAGCACCTTCCCCAAGAGGCGGTAAGCGGGTGGGGCGAGGGCGGTTCCTCCCCAGTGGGACGCCAGCTGGACGGGGGCTTCCCGAGACGGGGGGCAAGGCCTCGCCCCGCCGAAGCCGGTGCTTTTCCTTGCAAGAAGAAGGGGACGGAGAGGCAGGAAGAAGCCGTTGCCGCTTTCCGCTATTCCTCCCTTTGGCCTCATTTAATTCGAAAAGAGAGTTTGGGGGCACACTCAAGTCTCATTTCTCCATAGCATCTGAATTAGGAGATCATATGTAGGCCCTGGGCCCTTGGGAGAGAGCCTGGGTTATTAGAAATCTAGCCGACAGGGTCTGATTGGTTGGGTCCAGAGCATGGTTAATGCTTCATTACTTGCGGGAGGAATGGTCTCTGATGTCTTGAAAAAGGTAGGTGTGTGGCTCCTCCTAAAGAAACCGACTTCGAACACCTTAGACTGGAACAACTGTTGACCAGTAACAAATACACCCTTTTGGAGGATGATGGGGCAGCTGCAAGCATGTTTTGATAGCGGATTATTTAGATCTGTTCTAATCTGGGTTCAGGTCTGGCCATGGGCCTGAGTTGCCCTTGGTCTTCCTAATGGATGATATTTGCAGTGGGTGGGAGAAATGTGTGTGTGAGCTTGATCCTGCTTCTTGATCTCTGGCTTTTGAGACCATCGACCATGGTATCTTCCCTGACTGGCTCAAGAATGGGAATTTGGAGCACTGTGTTACAATGATTGTGGTGCTGCTTCTGGGACTAAGGAGAGTGGGACTGGGAAAGTACTTTCCAGGCTTCTGGAGGTTACTTTATGAAGTGCTGCAAGGCACTATCTTAATTCCATTGTTGTTCAACACCTATATGAAGCTGCCAGGAATAATCATTAGGAGTTTGGAAACAAGGTACCAGCAGCATGCTGATGACAGACAGTTCTATTTCTCCATAACATATGACTTGGGAGAGAGCATTGCAATCTGCATGAAAGCAGTGGCGAGATGGATAAGGAAATATAAGCTGCATTTGAATCCGGGCAGGATAGAGGCACTGTGGGCGAGTGGTTCCTGTGCCTCAGAAGTTGCTATGAGCTTCAGGTGCCATGTCCAAATAAAGAACTTGTACATCTGTCCCCACTAAGGTATGAGCTCTATACAGTAGTACCTCGGGTTAAGAACTTACCGTGTTTTTTGCCCTATAGGACGCACCGGCCCATAGGATGCACCTAGTTTTTTTTGGGGGGGGAAATCAAGGAAAAAAATTTTATTTCCCCCCCAGGTTTGCGCAGCCACCCCCAAGCTAGAAGAGGGAGAGGGAGCGCTCCGTCTCCCTCTTCTGCCTACAGGGACAGTCTCTCTAGCCTCCGTGGGGCAGCGACTTGCCCTGCTGTCCTCCGAGTTTGTGGGGCTGGCGGGGGGGGGGAGCAAGCTTGCCCCCCCCCCGCCAGCCTCCAGACCAGGTCGAGGAATAGCGGGGTGGCGGCGCTGCGCCTCCCCGCTGTCCCCCGAGCTTTTGGGCTGCAGGCTCCCGCCGGGCTTGCAAGACTTGCGGATAGCTTCCTGAAGCCTGGAGAGCGAGAGGGGTCGGTGCGCACTGACCCCTCTCGCTCTTCAGGCTTCAGCGAAAGCCTGCATTCGCCCCATAGGACGCACACACATTTCCCCTTCATTTTTGGAGGGGAAAAAGTGCGTCCTATAGGGCGAAAAATACGGTAATTCGTTCTGGAGGTCCGTTCTTAACCTGAAACTGTTCGTAACCTGAGGTACCACTTTAGCTAATGGGGCCTCCCGCTGCTACCGCCGCACAATTTCTGTTCTCATCCTGAAGCAAAATTCTTAACCTGAGGTACTATTTATGGGTTAGCGGAGTCTGTAACCTGAAGCGTCTGTAACCCGAGGTACCACTGTATAAGGATACAGCTTGTGCATTATACTGCAGGGAAGACACACCCACCCACCTTCCTGTGTTGGACAAGAAACACAAAAGTTGAGAGCGCAAGTCAGTTGATGGTAATGTCCAAAGTAGCACAGATTCAGTTTCCCCCATTTCTGTTACATGAAAGTCTTGAAGACCAAGTTAGTTAAATAGGAGTTATGGGGGGTGCGGTGGGGTAGGGTGTTTGCAGTTTATATATCTATGAACCTGTAGAGAATAAACCTATTTATGATAGCATTTATTTAACTTAACAGTGCATTTGGTATTTCATATTTCCATTATTGAAGATTATACTAATATGCCACTACAGTAGTGACATCTTGATTAGTAGCTGCTGCTTGGTTAGACCCAGAGTTCCTTGTTTGAATGCTTGAAATTTAGTATTCCTAATTAATACTTGACAGACCACCATAGAACATGAACAGGATGGGGTAGAATAGCCAGGTAGTCAAATCTCCTGTCTGTTTAAATTTTGGTGAACAAGCAGGGCAATGTGACTGAAATACTTACAAGGTTGGGTGGTAACTCTCTCCTACAGAATTTTCTTAATTAAAATTGCATACAGTATGCATAAGATTTCCCCGCCAGGAAATAGTGCATTTTTGTGGAGAGTTCATTGGAAAAGCAGTGCAAGGAGAGTGGTTTAACCTCCTTCCCACAGTGCCATGGCCCAGATCTGGATTGGATTCTCCTTCAGCTGCTGTTTGCTGAAATTCAAAGCAGTGGAACGTCCACTTATGAATCTCAAGCATCTTGTCTTGTTTGGCTTTAAGAAACTTGTTGACTTTATCTAGATTTACTCTCAGTGCATAGTGCCAACAGCTCCCTCTCCCCCGATACCTTTTCTTAAGAAATCAACCTTTTATTTAGGTAAGGATATTCATACTGTGAGGCAAATGGTTACAAAACAAAATGTGAATTACTTTGCTTGTTAAGGGAGTTTCCTGGTGGGCAGTAGGAGTTCATGGAATGTGTCAAGAGAAGAGTAGGGTAGCTGCACTGTGAAAGGACTGGGATTAAGTGAACAGAAAAATCATACCTTAAATGACAGCAAAGCCCGGTATACAATGATGTGCATTATCATTAAGTATTATGTGTCCTGCTAAGAGACATGATCTCTTTAACCCCCGCTTTGCCCCTGGCAGGAGCAGACTTGCTGTCTAAAGTACTACTGACTGTATCTTCAGTCATGAGAAGCCAGTTGCCCAAGAGAGATCAGCCCATAGGCAAGGAGGTCATTAGCAGTTTTTGACTCCTACTTGTTCCTATGATTAAGTAAGCTTTTGCGTGACAGCATTGATGGGCTCAGGTTGTTCCCGAGGCCGCAGGTAGTGCAGAATGTGGTGGCCCTATGCAGCTCAAGCCCAGTTTACTTGCCCTGTCTTAACCTTTATATACCCAGTAGGTTACTGCATCTTGCAGGAGCATTTCTCCTTCAAGTTCTGAAGATCTCAAAAGCTTGCTCTACAGTAACAGAGAGCTATGCCTCTTCTGTGGAGTGGCACTCCAGTTGAAATGTGACATGTACCTTCCTTATGCACTTTTTTTGGAAACAACGACATTCTTGTTCCGATAAGTAATTCCAGCTAGATGAATAGGTTTCTGCGTAGTGGCCATTCTGTATTTCTTGTAAATTCATCTTTCGTTAGTTTTGTGCTGTTCTGTTACTGTTTTTAATGTATTTGGGACATCACCTTGGGCATATGTGAAAGTGAGAAATAAGAACAACAACGTTCTTAAACACACACACTTCTCTTTTTTCTGCAGCTGGAGGTTGCCTGGTGGAGAAGGAGAAACCATTGGCATTCCAAAGGGGTGGAGGGAAATTCCCAGCTGGTGGATCAGTTCCAGAACCAAGCCAACCTCTGTGGGCCATTAGACTATACCTCCGCAGTTGACAAGCCTATACTGGTTCCTTTTACCGTCAAAGAGGAAGCAGAGGCATATCTCTTAGTGCTGTGGTTCATAGCACTAAGATCAATGTCTGTTCTTAGTTCAGGAAAACCAGATCTCCATGCCTTATGTCTTATGATGACAGGCAACAGGTGTGTGTGATTTGCTTTTCTTCTGCTTACTTCCAACAGGGACATTAAGCAGGAAATTTCAGCAGCACCTGGCATGGCATGCAAGAGGACTGGTGTCTTCTATTACTGTGTTTCTACATTCACATGCCTCTGTCAGGGGTCCTGCTTGCTGTAACTACTGAGACCAAGAAAGTACACTGAGACTCCATAGCTGCTGGCAAGAAATGTGTTTTTGGTCCCCCATTACACGTTAGGCAAATGAGTTGTCATGCTAAGTCATACTCAAACCCATTGGAAGAAATGGTCCTAAGATAGTCATGACAGTTTTAAGTCCACTGATTTCAGTGCATCTACTCAGATTATCACATTGTTGGCAAGATCCATTCATTGACTCCCTTAATTTATACTACAAGTGAAACTTCAGACTGAGTGTTTGGCATTTTTGAAAGTCCCTTACTTTCAAAGTCTCCCTTAAAGACTTTTTAAAAAAATGGCTGTAGATTCTGTTGCAGATCTTTAAAGAAGAAAAATGTTCTGCTGCATATATTTTGTTTGGGTGATATTAGAGGTCCACTAAGTTTGGATGGGCTTGGTACTCGGTTATTGTTTCTAGTAGCCAAATTTTTGATGCTGTATGGAAGCAAAGTACATATTGTCTTAGCCATGTAGTTTCACATTTCAAGCAACACATTCATTAGAGGATTAAAAATAGAAAACAATAAGATGAAATTTTTTCAGAGTTGGAGAATCTCTTAGCTGTTTGAAAAACTTTCTTCAGTATGTATCAAGAGCACATTTCTTACTTCAATCATTATCAGCTACTTAATGGCATCTCCTCTTAAGCCAACTGTCAGATCATATTTCAAATGAACATTTTAACCAACAAGAGAAAGTCTCAGTAGTGATTTATAGGAGTTTCAAAAATAATTGAAGAAAGGAGGATTTGCTGGTCTTTGCCCTAGGGACTGAACTCCAGGGTTATTGTGGGGTTTGGGCAAGGTTATGTTTTTTCCATTCCCCCGTCACTCATCCACGTTCCTCAAAGATTTCTTGGGCGCACGGCAGGGAGTAATCCTTCCAGAACATTTGGAAGTTAATTCCTGTTATCTTTGTCCCTCGGATATAATAAGATACAGTATCCATCACTAATCACCACTTAATTATCTCTGCCGTCTTGACAGAGATGACTAACCAGCCATGAGGTCTCCCCAGAAGTCCTGAAACCCACTAGATTTCTGTGGTTGTAAGTTGTTTACAGTTTAAGTTTTTGATACTGTCTTAATTGTTGTAACCTGCCCTGGGACATTGGGGAAAAGTGTGAGATGGCGGCAAAATTATTATTATTATAAGCTGCAACCCAAGATAAAAGGGCACACCTAGCTACTTTAAAAGAATTGAGATTCACGGATGCTGTGATTACTAAGAACCAGCATGGTTTCTCAAAAACAAGTCATGCAAGATGAATCTCTTTCCTTCTCTCTCTGGATAAAGCTACAAGCCTGGTGGATCATGGGAATGCTATGGATGTTGTGCACCTTGCTTTCAGTAAGACAAAGTTCCCCATCATATTCTTGTAGAGAAGCTGGTAAAATGTGGTTTGGATGAGGTAACTCTTAGGTGGATTTATAGCTGGTTGACTGACCAATCCCAAAGAGTGCTCAATAACTGTTCCTTATCCTGGAAAAAAGTGACAAGCGGAGTGCCACAAGATTCTGTCCTGGGCCTGTTGTTGTTCAGCATCTTTATAAAGAACTTGGATAAAGGAATTGAGGGGATGCTCATCACATTTGCAGATGACACCAAACTGGAGCTGCAGACAGAATCGGGATTCAATATGACCATAACAGATTGGAGAACTGGGCCCAAATTAACAAAATGAAATTCAATAGGGACAAATGTAAGGCTCTTCACTTAGACAGGAAGAACCAGCTGCACAAATATAAGATGGGGGACACCTGGCTTACTAGCAGTACATGTGAAAAGGATCTAGGGGTCTTGGTAGACACAAGCTTAACATGAGTCAAAAGTATGATGCAGCAGCAAAACAAAAAAAGCTAATGCTAAACTGCATCAGCAGAAGTCTAATGTTCAGATCAAGGGAAGTAATAGTAACACTCTATTCTGCCTGGCGGGCTCTGGTCCATGGGATCACAAAGAGTCAGACACAACTAAACAACAACAAATTCTGCCTTGGTCAGACCACACCTGGAGTACTGTGTCTAGTTCTGGACACCACAATTTAAGGACATTGACAAGCTGGAATGTGTGCAAAGGAGAGTGACGAAGATGATCAAGACTCTGCAAACCAAGACTTATGAACAGTATAAACTCTGATATATCAGTTAGGTGGCAAATGGCTCCTTAAACCATTTGGAAGTCGCCAAAACGGAATGTCTAGTTGCCATTTTGGGGCCAGGAGGCTTGAAAGTTGTATTTTTCAACACGACTTCTTGATTCTTGAAATTTGCTCTGTGCAGATAAAATATCACAAATAGAATACTACAGGATGTGTTGTTAGCATGTGAAAACAGGCAAGTTCCAAGGATACCCAGGCATGCACCTCCACATGGTGGAGGCATCAGGTGCCATTCTGGCACCCAGGCATCTTCACTTGGTCGCAAGTGGCTGATAGCCAGGTGCAACATGCCTCTGGCGAATTTCAAATGCTGCTTATGAGGAATGGTTGAGGGAATTGTGGATGTTTAGCCTGGAAGAGAGGAAATTAAACAGCCATCTTCAAGTATCTAAAGGGCTGTCACATGGAAGATGGAGCAAGATTGTTTTCTCCTGCTCCGGAGGGTAAGACCTGAACCAATGGCTGCAAGTTGTAAGGGAGGAGCTTCCAACTAAACATCAGGAATGACTTTCTGATAGTAAGGGCTGTTTAACAGTGGAATGGACTCCCTTGGGAGGTTGTGAATCCCCTTCCTTGGAGGTTTTTAAGCAGAGGTTGGATGGCCATCTGTCATGGTTGCTTTAGTTCAGATTCCTGCATTGTAGGGCTTGGCCTAGATGACCCTTGAGGACCCTTGCAGCTCTGCAACTCTGATTATTCTTCTTCTTCTTCTACTACTACTAATTATTATATTTCAGCCTTTGGCCTGAGCCTCCAGCACTGTTTTTTGCTAAAACTTTGAGAGATAGTGCCTTTTGCATACATCTCTTAAGTACTCCGTGAGAGGTGTGAGCTTTCTTTTTCCAGGTAATCTCTTATATTAGGTCTAATTTGAGACGAATGAACTGTCATCTCCTTATCAACACGATGAAGCCTTTCTGTGGTGTAGTGGTTAAGAGCGGTAGTCACGTAATCTGGGGAACCGGGTTCGCATCTCCGCTCCTCCACATGCAGCTGCTGGGTGACCTTGGGCCAGTCACACTTCTCTGAAATCTGTCAGCCCCACTCACCTCACAGAGTGTGTGTTGTGGGGGAGGAAGGGAAAGGAGACTGTTAGCTGCTTTGAGACTCCTTCGGGTAGTGATAAAGCGGGATATCAAATCCAAACTCCTCCTCTTCTTTCTCTTTTCTGATCTTCCATATTTGTTAGAGTTGTAAATGTTTGTTCACGGCAATGTATCATGGAGAGTTATAGAAGAATAGCCAATGCTCTTCAAGAGAGTTGTGGATATTGTTTCTGGTTGTATATCCAAAAAGAGTTCAGTGACATATTTCTGTGTTTCATTTTCAAATTGTGATCGCTCAAAATGTAGGCCGTTTCCTCCTCCTCATTCAGTGTCAGTCCTGTATTGCTGCAATTCACAGAAGTGCCTCAGTATTTTTTGACATTAACTATTCTTCCGTTAATTTTATCACCAGACAAAGGAATTTCCATAACTTGTTATTCAGCATCCTTATCAAACAAATTTTTCACAATCAAGCAACAGACAGGCTTAATCAGTTTTTCAGCTGCTGTATGTGCTTTGTCTGTTGAACAATCAATTCAGCCAGTTGGTAAGATATAATTTGCATCTTACCTGAGACTTTACTCATTTTTCGAAATATGATCGTTGGCATTTCCACTGTTCCAACTGCCTTTCAAAATACTGAAACACTGCATTTTCGTATGTTTGGGGGCCATATTGGAATTGGAAAGCTTCTCACCGCAGATCAGACACATAGATTGAGGGACATTTTCATCTTCAGTCCGTGTGAATCTGAGACTTGGATAGCTATCCACATATTGTTGACTAACTTTCTTTTTTGGAGGTCTGCTTAGACCTGCTACTGGCGTTGAATTAAACTAGTCTTCTCCAGTACTCTGTTTGAATGGTGATTCTGGATCACAACTAGGATTGCTTTCAGTATCACTTGATGCTCATGCTCTCATTTCAAAAAGATATCTATCCATATTCTGCAAATAAAGTGATTTTGATACTATACAGTACACTGGAGTGTTCAATTTTTTTTAATTATTCTTTAATCTTCCTCCCGCACACGCCAGCCTCTCCTGCTACTCCAGTGGGGCTCACCACACCTTTTGAGAGCCATTGTGTTAAGTTGTTTGTTAAGCTATGGTGTAACATCTGTATTTATGATAGTTATCAGATTCAAGTAATTAATGATGTGGGTGGTAGACACACCATGAAATTGTGTGTCTTTTTAAATAAAGGTGGCATCAGATTTGGAATTGTTTGTATAAGTAGATGTGCTTAGATATTTTAATTGTGTGTTAATTTATCAGTGACATGTTTCCCAACCTGGGCTCATTTGGAAGGATGAAGGGATATAAATACGATAAATAAGATAGTAATGAAAATGACTTGGATTAGCAAGGAGGACGGAAGTTCATTCAGTCTGCTGGTGTGGGTGTTTGGAATGGATGCCATTTAAATTAATTTGTTTTTATGTGCTTTTAAATGTGTTTTTGAGAATTGAGGTGTTAATTATTTTAAGCTACCACCACTGTGGTGTATGCATTGCATGGGTAGGTTAGAAATTCTCAGATTAATTAATGGGAGTCAGTATTTCTCTGTCCAGAAGGCAATCCGTGATGGTTTGTTTTCGATTTAGCTGGAACTATACTGCACATACTCAATTTGAGGGGTGGAAACTTCTAAAAGCTCTCCTTATTTTATTCTTGTATTTATATATTAAGCTCAAACAATTCCATAGTATACACATCTGTCTGCCAGCGGGATGCACTTTGCTTGAACAATGGGACTTCCCCTTCATCTCCTTCCCCTTGCAGTTCCCTTGTGTGCCTGCCCAGTCAAGCTGCAGAGAGTAGAGGGAAGTTCTACATGAAACTCGATTTTACCTATGATTTAGATTTTAAAGATTGGGGGGGGGGATATGAAGGTACTGAAAACTATTAACCTGCTCAAATAATTATCTAAAAATATATGTATCTAAAATTACAGTTGTGGCAGTTAACTAGTATTGTTCTTGAAACATGAGTTTGACCAAACTGCGGGAGGCAGTGGAAGACAGGAGTGCCTGGTGTGCTCTGGTCCACAGGGTCACGAAGAGTCGGACACGACTAAATGACTAGACAACAATCTGTTCCAATTTCCATATTTGTTTTGTATTATTTCCATTGGCTAGATTACTAATTCAACCATGCATTTTTTTTTTCAAACGGACAGCTTCCCACTAACATCACCAGAGTTGAAGCCAATTGTCAATGTGTACCTTAAACCTTAGGGGACACCAGTCACACATTTTAATTTAGGAATGTGAGATTCAATGGCACGATTAATAGAGTGGGGAAATCTCTGAAAAGGATATGGTAAGAAGATGTCTTTAGATAGGATGGCTTCTTGCAGCAGTATTCGTTCATTTATTTTCTTTTAGTATTCCTTTCAATATTACCTTTATAGACTACCTTTCTTCCAAGGAGCTCAAGGTGGCCAATACATATTTCTCCCCCTCTCCATTTTTATCCTCACAACCACCATGTGAGGAAGCTTAGGCTGAGAGACTGTTCATTCAGTGAGTGTCCTAGCTGAGTGACCTTCGAATGCTTTGTCTGCCTGGTTCCAGTCCCACATTCTAACCGCTTCATCAGACTGGCTAGAGAGTATGAGATGTATTTGTGGTGACCCAAATTTCACTCCAAATTTTGACAAATGGGGGGGGCATTCTTGATGTCAGAATGAACGGCCCCCATCATGCAAGGATGGTGCCTGACATTTCCACTATCTGGGGATCAGTGGATCTGGACTGTTTTCATACACACCGATACCCCATCCTGTAGAATTCTATCAGTTATATTTTATCTGCGCAATCAGAATGAATTTCTGGAATCAAATTGCTTTTTCTGTTTAGCCTCAGCAGAAGTCATCATTAAGGAAAAGAGGTCTGAATAGGCCAATATATATGTGGACTGTCCCTGAATCAAGTGACTTTTCTTCTTTAAGTTCTCAAAGCTCTTAACGTAGCTCACAGTTGTCATCTGAACTAGCTAGATTTTTAACTGAGAATCAATCCCAGTCAGCCCATCATTTGAAAAATAAGATTTTAAAGCCATTGTGCCCCAAAATGGCAACTAGAAATTTTGTTTTGGCGATTGCAACTTTGGTTTAAGGAACCATTTGGCACCTAGTTTATATATGAGTTTCTAACACTACTCCCTGACTTAATCAGTATGAAGTGGTAGGGTCCAGAAAAGAAATCCAAATGACAATTGGCATGTAAGAAGCACACATTTAATGTGGCTGAAAGACACTTTCTAACCTTTTGCGGATGAATGAAGTTGAACACTAGTTACATGGCTTTTTTGTAATATCTGCTTGCTTTGTTATGAAGATCTTACAAAAGGATTGCCTGCCTCATTCAAATACATGGAAATATTGCCACCTTGTGGGTGGTGCTTTGTGTGCCATAGCTCCCTCTTTATAACATTTCCTGATAACATCCGTTGTTGGATTGTGAACAAATAATCTTCCCAGACTTTTGATCCTTCTCCCCTGAATGTCTCCTCTCTCAAATGGGGGGGGGGGGGATGCATATGTTGTAAGTTTTGTTGCTTTGTAAAGAAATATGAGTAGTGCTCTTTTAAATTTGGCAGCGCAAATCATAAAGCTGTATGTTTTGGATGGAGGAGTGTTTTAGAATTACTTAACATCCTGTTTTAACATGCTGTTCTCACAGTTTGAATTTTTCTAAGCGTGGTTCTGTGGAAACATTTTGGGGGTGATTTTCTTAACACTGTAGAGGAATACATCGAAGGAGCAAGCTGTCACTGTCACACCAGATGTGTAGCGCACTTGAGTTTTTGTTTTATTCTTATCAAAGTTAAACCACCAGACACAGTTGCAATTCTAGTTTATTTTAGCTAGCTTAGGATTGCCTTTATTGAACATTTGCTCTAGCAAATTCTCACAACGGGTCTTTCTGCACACCTAAAGGGTGGGAAACTCAGGCTCTGGGGGCAAATGTGGCCCTCGGGGCCTTGGTCTGGCCCTTGAGACTTTTCTAGCCATATTTTTCATCAGCCTTGCTTCACACCCGCCTAGAGTGATTTTTCCCTGGCTGGAATGAGTCTGTGCACTTCAATAATGCATCTTGGTTTCCTGGATGGCGGGTGAGAGAGGGTTGTGTGAATTTGTGCAGAAGCTAGTCTACTGTACATAGGTAAAGTTTATATTCATTGCTCCACCCGCGTGTGCCTGCAGTTTTGCCTGCCCAGAAGGAAATATAATCTTCAAATTGAAAGGTTCCTCATCCCTGGCATATACCCAGCACTCTGTTGCAAAGTTAGCCTCGCTTCAGGATGCAGATGTTGCACCTACAAATTTCATTCTAGCTTCACCTGTCCCCTTCTTAAGACTCTTCTAATTTGTGGGAGCAAGTTGCTGACAAACAAAAATCTTCCCTTCATTTACAACAATAGCATGTGGTGCTTCACGGTTTCAGCTGTCACATGTCAACATACCTACACACCTATGTCGTAACTCTGGGTATTTCGTTAAGTAAATCAGGTTCTGGATAATGTCCTCCTTCAGAATGTCATTAACATAAGCACATAAAGAACATTAAGCATCCTATTCTCAAGAGTGGCATCCAGACCTGTGGGAAACCTTCAAGCGCAAGAGCGCTGTCTCTCCCCATCAGCTTCCAGCAACTGGTGTTCAGAAACATTGCTGTCATTTTTGGTATACAGAAGCATTAATGTAACAAAAATGAGTGTTTATAAGCAGCTAAGGGGCTACATACAGCTTTGTACATCAGTTATATAATCATGCAAGCCGATGTAATGTTTCGTCAGAATGGACAGTATCTTAGAATTATAACGTTGACAAAAATGAGCAAACAACATAGTGAACTAACAAGTCATATTCTTTTTATCCTCCTTTCCCTTTTAGGCAAGAAGTTTTTAAGTGGAACGGATGGGGTTACAATGACTCAAAATTCATCATCAATAAGAAGGGACAAGCAGAATTCACAGGGAAAAGGTAACATCCTTGTAGATACATAATATTTCTAAGGGATGGGGGGCAGGAGGGATTTAAAAGCACGAAATGGATATTAAATAATAGGTGAAGTAATATCATTGGCTTTTGGGTGGGTTGCCCCTGTCAGGTATGTGGTCTGTTGGTTACCTTTATGTGAATAGTTCATCGGTGGCAGACTAAAGCCAAAGCTGTTACCCTGATTGTTGCGTGGATTTGTAGAAAGGGCGGGGGGATTGGAGTGCGTGTCTGGCCACTTCTACTAGACTGTAGTTTTTTGAGGCTTGGCTTTGTCACCCAGACTCAGATACTCGGGACGTTGTCTGACCCCTGTCCCAGCATAACTCCAATCCCATAGGTGATCTATTCCCTTATGCACGTCTGTTGCTTCATCCTACATGAGCCAAGATGCAAGTTGCTGCTGCACTTCCAGCTCCCATCAACCCCGGCCACCATGGCCAAAAGTCATGGATGATGAGAGCTGTGCTTAAGTCATGTCTGTAGAGCCACAGGTTAGTTAACTACAAGCACCAGAGGATTTGTCGGAATCCTACCCTTATTATGTATACAGATGAGTTAATTATTCTTTATGTGAACGTAAGAGGGACCCTACTGAATCAAACCAAGAGTTCATCTCATCCAACATCCCATTTCGTATAACAGCTGTATAGATGCTTCCAAAAACCCTGTAACCCTACTTGGCAAGGATGATCACTGAACATGGAGATGCTTTTTTGGCATCAGTTCTCATACCTTTTTTATGAGAGGAGACTTCTCCATGAATTTGTCTAATCATCCTCCATAAAACTACTTAAACCACTGGCTGTTGCCACATCGTAGGATGGTGACTTTCATCAGCTTTTTCGGTTTGCTAATCCCGAATTCATTTGTCTAATACTTTGCTAAAACCATTTAAGCCACTGGCTGTTGCCAGATCATGCGATGGTGACTTTCATGAGCACGTAAAAGGTGTACTGCACATTTTGTGAATCCTGCTATCGCCCAATTAATTTCATTGGGTAAACCAAAGGTCTAGTATTATTAGAGACGGCCAAACTTATTTCTATTTACTTGCTTCACAGTTTGCATAACTTTTATCTTTAAAAACTACATCCATGTCTTTTTTTCTGAAATAAAAAGCCACAAATGCTGCAGCTCTTTCGTATAGGAAAGATGCTCCAACCCCTGTTCGCCTTGTCTTCTCTTCCCCAGCTGTAGTCTCCTAGTCATCTTTTCTTCAAAAGAACCTCATGCCGTATTCAAAATTTAGCCACACCGCTTTTATTAAAGGACTGCAGCCAATAGTTAAGGCCAAAGTGACAGCCCACCATATTAAATCCTACTTTTTTTCTCCAGTAGGAAACAGATTTATTCCAGCTGTATTGCAAGTGATTGACATGAAACTTTGTGCCCAACTTCTATACGGCACACCAGTGTGGATTTCAGGTGACCTCAAGAGGTTGGATAAATTCCACGCATCCCTTCTGAGGTCATTATTAGGACTTGCAAACTCTGTAAAATATGAAACAATATGTTGTGAGCTGGGAATATTGCCTTTATCAGTAAGAGCATGGTTGAGGACCTTGAAATATTGGATCTTCCTCCATTATAGAGCCCTATCCCCTAATTCTCTACTTTACGATCTTTTAAGTGATAGTGCAATCTACAATCTATCATTGATTTGTAGGAGAAAACTGGATTCGATAGGGCTCACTCTAATTGATTTTGAAATCTCTGATCCCAAAGACATATGGGAAATTATCAGGAAGACTCTTACAGAAAAAGTGTTCTCGCCATGCTTGAGGCTGCAAAGCACAGCACTTGCTCTCCTATCCACTTAAATCTCCCTTTGTGTAGAGATTTCCAAAGGGATACATGACAAATCTGAAGAAACATGAATCGTGTAGGCTGTTTATGTTGGCCAGATTCAACATGTTTCCCTCGGTGGTAGTGAGAGGAAGATACTTAGCTATCCCAGAATCAGAGCGTCTCTGCAAATGCAGAAAACAGGAACCCAATACTCTAGAGCATATATTCTTTTCCTGTGATTTTGGTAGTTATGCCAGAAAACAATTATTTGAGGCCCTAAAAGTTAATAGACAGATTTTTACACAACCAACTGTTCAGGACCTGCTGGCGGACAGCGATGATCAAATTACTTTAATAGCGGCTGAATTTTTAAGGGCTGTCCATGAAGAAAGAATGGGCCATGATAAAGAGACTTAGTGGTTTTTAATGGTAGGTGATGTTGCAGTGTTGTTGTATTATATTATCTATGTACATCGATTTATTTCTTGGAGTTAAGAATGGGACTGGGATAAACTGTGTTCGCCGAGCCCGTATTTTATACAGTCTGTATATGATGTTTGTTTGTCAGCGTGTGATGTGCTATGCCTAATAAAGGATTTAAATCAATCAAAGTACTGCAGCCCTTGGATTCTTCTTTTCTGGAAATACAGTATTTGTAATTCCTCCTGTAGTAAACTTGATGTCAGTTAATATGATGACTTCTAGTTTTTGAAGGAATAACTTCTCTTCAGCTACTGTTTAATTTTTCAGTCTAATTTAGGTGCCTTTCCCTCAGATTAATCCCTGAAAACTTGAAGGAAATAGGCTTCAACTTCTGATCCTTGTATTTGTCCTGTATTTGGCAGCTCTGCACTAATTCTCTTCAGATGCTGTCTTTGGGGCATCCTGAACTACACAATATTCTAAAAGTGAGCATGCCATGAATGAATGCAATTGTGGCTTTTTATTTCAGTCCCATTCAGCCATTTTGTTGTTTATTTACCCAGACCAGAGAAATATGTGAGAATTCCTTAATATGCTTCAGACTTTGCTCTGTTAACTACCTTCTCAGGCAACAAGTAGTTTATGTCGCAAATCACCAGATAATTTATGAATAAGTTAAAAAGCACTGTTCCTAATACCAAACTTTGTGTTACTACCAAAAACAGCAACCCTACTCTCTGCTCAAGATTTTAATTAACTGCTATCTGTAATAGGGTTCTTGTCACCTACTACAATGTTTTCTTCATCTTTGATGGGCTTTCAGAAAGCATTTGGACAATTCAGAAGTATATAACTGTACAAAATTGGGTGTTTATTTGACTCGGGATTATGAAAGGTTGTTGAGCGATACTTTGCTTTGCAGAAGCTGTTCTGGCACTTCACCCACAAGGCTGATTCTTCTTTCTGCTTAAGAATGGCTCATATTAAAACTCTTTGCAACTTAGCTGCATAGGCGAGACTGACACATCTATAATTTCCTGGATCCTCAGTCCCATCCTTCCAGAAATTACATACTCTTTGTGTATATTTGAAAAAAATAAAATACTAGATTTGTACTAGCTTCAGGCTAGAAAGAACTGACTAAAATACTTTCAAATTCAGGTATCGGCTAGGTGGTACGGTGTTGCCTTTTTTAGTAGACTGGATGGAGAAATATATGAGCGGAAGTCTGGAGCATAAAAGTACTTCTAGAGTAAGTATATAAATGAACATCTAATTTGGTATAACTCAGTGCGACTTCTAAGATTCCTTTGCATGCAGTTGGAATAAGGTTTAACCTCTGATCCATCGCCATTGTCCTTTTTGTACTATCTGATATCCGAGAACTTGGGCAGAGGCCTTTCCCAAGCTTGCTACCAATGCCCTGTGGTTCCTTACTATATGGTTCAGTGTGAATCTGTGTCTAAAAATGAAGTACCTTAGTTAATCTGATTTGATTAGGTTTCTTTCCTCTGTAACCTTTCTTAGTAATGTTACATTGCTTCCTTTTTGACACAGGTTGAAAATCCTTTTCTTTCAACAGACTTTTAGTGTTTTGCTTCTGTATTTTATATTTTTATTTTTTAATCTATTTTTTATAATGTTACGATTTACTAGTTCTCAGTTGCTCTGTGGATAAAAAAGCTGGGATAAATATTGAATAGCTAACATACTAATACTATGTTTCTGCAAGATTTCTTGGTCACTAATTGTTTAGTCATTTGATCAGTACCTTTGCACCTGCCCTCCAGATACTTGGCCAATTAAGTGATCAAATATAGATGGGCAGGTACACTTTTAAGTTAATAAAATTCCAGCACAAGTACCTGCTAATTCCAGATGCCCTAGTTAGCTGTGAAGCATTGAAATTGTTCCCTGTACCACTGGTCTCCATCGTTTTTAGCAAGTGTGCCACAAGTCAAGTCCAAAATGAATGTGCCAATGTCCTTTTACTTTGGGACAGTTTGACTCAGCTAGCATGGGGGGAGGCAGAGAAGTCCCCTCCATGCCATAGCTGGGATACAGGCACAAGTGCCACAAACCACGCATGCAACAGGTTAGCAATTTTATTACCGAAGTTGAGGACGTATTTATTTTTAGCTAGTAACATTGGCACAAATTTAAATGTATATTAAATCTCCTACTAGAGATTGGATTGTAAAGCATGCTTTTAAATCCAGGGGAAAGTGTGTCCTGGTTGTCAGTTGGAAGTTTGGGAAGCAAGCTGACATGATACAACTTGGTTGCTGTTGAGGTATAATCCTGCCCCACTGCTTTGCCTGCATTTTTACGCTAAACTGCATTTCTAAGTATTGCAGTAGAACTTGTCTAGAACAATTGCTTTGCAGTGCAATTGTTAAAGCATTTGGGGCAAACCTAAATGGAGAAGTAGATGTCTTTCCCAAGGAGGAGAATGTAATAAAGTATAGCCTGAGCTAAGGATCTCCTAAAAAGGACTTGCATTTCTACTAGAGTTAAATGGAAGTGAGTTGGATAAATACAATTAAAACTTTCAGTTCTTAGAGCCTTTACCTTCCATTCATTAAGTGTAATCTACTTCAGACCAATATTTTAGAGGTCAGTGATACTTGACGGCTAGAGTAGAAGCACCATGCGGAAGAATATCCCTTTTTCAGTAGAAATCTCTCTGATGCTAGTGCCTCTCAGCTGGCTGTAGCTCAGGCAGGCAGAAATGAAGCAGGGAGAAAGCAAGTGAGATAGACATGGTACCCTCCTTTTCTTTTAACACCATTGGTTTGGGCAACCCAGGTGTTGACACAGGTAGCAGGAAATAAAAGTCCTTTGAAATATAACAGTGATGTTGAATGAGCTGAACGCTGACCACAAGAAAGGTAAAGGGTTTTACCCAATTTCAACACCAGTAAATGGGTTTGAGTCATACTTTACCTTTGGCCTCTGGTAAGAACCATCAATGGTTTGTCCTTCCTGCACCTTCCCTAGGACTATTTAAAACCTTTGTGACCCGAGGAATGGCTGAAACAAGGAAGGCCAGGCCAGGAAGCTATTGCCATCAGCTTCCAGTCAGCTTAAGAGCTCTGCATTCTCTAGCACTTGTTGGTGTTAGTATTTCAAAATTGTGTATCGCCCTGGCTGCCTTGTTAGAAAGGTACTATATAAGTGCAATAATACAGAGAAATAAATAGTTTGAAAAGGGACAACACAAAAACAAATTGGTTTCCCAAGAGCTTGGCATTTCTCTTCTTGTAGAAGTACCTTGCCTCTCTGCGGGAGTTTATTCTTCTGAATATCTGTGCTGAGCACAGCTGTGTTTTTCTTTTACATTGAAGGCATCCTTGAATCTTAGTGATGTGCCTCCTTCTATTGCAAATGAAGAATTTATCAAAGACCTCCAAGCTGCTAAAATATCATATACCCAAGAAGCAGAAGCTAGGATATTCAGAGCTCATGGTAAGAACACACACACACACACACACACACACACACACACACACGAGTGCATTTTAACTGTATGTTTATTTTTTAACTTGACATCTTTGTAAACATCGCCCCCCCCCCCTTTTGTACTTTAGGTCATTGCTTACATGAACTATATAAGCTCAGGGAAGGAATGTTTCAACGAGTTCCTGATGTAGTTGTATGGCCAGGTAAGCTCTTTAGAATGTTTTTCTCATTCTTCAAAGGCTTTCCCCCACCCTGAAGTCCAATATAGCAAAATACAAATCTGGGGGCGGGGGATGAACTTGATATTGGAAAGCACTTGCAGATGTTGGCAGAGTACAGAATCTCATCCAGTACTTGGTCCAGGAATGTTGTTTGGAAGTCTGCCAAGAATGCTGCTTATGCAGCCTGGTGAAAAAGCCTTTGCAGAACAGAGGCTCTGCTTTACTTGTTTGGTCACTTTCCTCCAAAGTAAAAGAAAACCGTGTCAAAATTTGAAAGGTAGATGCAACATGGGCACAGGATCAAAACATACAAACGCGTGAAAGACTTGGAAGCTTTTTTCAGTGTGTGCAAACCTTTAATTTTCTGAAGATGAAATAAAGTTCTGATATGGTAAGCTTTCAACCAGATTTTCACGGGCAACAGATTCTTGCTAAAGAAAGAAACCTGAGCCATGCTAGCAATTTCAAGAACACGTAATTTGCTGTTCAGAATGCATTACATTGGTTCTTGTTTACAGTTTCTGTGATTTACTGGCCTTTACCCAGCTGGCTCCTTCCAGCTGTGCAACTTAGATGCTGGGAAGACTTGGCTCAGTAGCCTTTATTTTTATTTCTAGTTGTTAATACCAGAATATTTGCTGGGGTGCTTTCTGAGCATTTTCCAGAGAAACCAAAGCTTCTTCATTTATGCTCCATTGAAACCAACATAGCAAGTTAGTCGAAACCAACTGGAGAGTTTCATGACCCACTTTAGATGGATTCAGGCCACTGCTCTAAATCAAGACATGGACACCTTTCCTATTGACTGTTCTTGCTAGTTTATTTTCAACTTGTTTCAAACTAGCAGAAATATATAGGGAGGAATGTAGCGCTATGTAAGCTTTTCAGATTTCCAGGCAAAATAATCCCCTCTCTCCTTGCCCCCTCATTCTGGGGGTTCTCGTGACCTCTCCCGAGCCAGTGGAGTCCTTGTGCAAGCTCCTGCTCCTGGGATGATTCATTGGTTGAATCTAGCCCATACTTTGTTGTCTGTAGCATATACCGTATTTTTCTGTGTATTGGACAAGGTTTTTTGACTCAAAAATCACGTCAAAAAACTTGGGTCGTCCAATACACGGATAGTGGCATGGCTGGGGGCAATGGGAGAGTACAGTACTTATTTGCACCTCCATCTCATAACACTTGGTGCATCCATAACTACTTCAAGCACTAGAGTTTTTACCAGCTTGGGCTGGTGCACCAACAATGTCCCTTCCTCCAGAAGCTGAATCTGGCCAGGGTTGCTTTTCAGTAACCTCCAGACCTGAGTACTATAAAGCACTTAACACCAGGCTGGCCTTGAAAAGCTTTTGGAAGCTTCAGTTAGTGCAGATTCCTGCCACCAGATGGACTAACACCCACCAACAATCAGAGCATATTACAGAGTGGGACCAGACCAGTTGCCTATTGATTTCTGGGCTTGAATGCTGATTCTTGCTGCTTGAATGCCCTGTTGGGGACTGGAATATCTTATAGAATGCCTTTCCTTTGTGCACTCTGTTCAGTGTCTGAGGTCCTGCCTTGCAATCCCTCACCAAAGTTCATGCAGTTTTTGCTAGAAGCAGGCGTTTTTCAGTTGTGGCATCAACCTTACGGAATGACTTTTCCAGAAGAACCCATTATGCACTATCATCTTGGACCTTCAGGTGCCAAGTTGAAGCCTGACTTTGTAGAAAGGCTTTTGGCTGGCTGTTGGTTTTACTTTCCTCCTGTGTTACTTCTATTTTCACGGCCTTGCTTTTTTGAGCATCTGCTAAATCTGTAATTTGCTGTTACTTGAATTGTAATTTTGTTGTGAGGTTCTTTTTGATAGTTTTAGCTTTTTGTGTTTTGTTTTGTTTTTAAAAAAGGCAAAGTGTAAGCAACTTTGGTTCAATGTTTAAGAGGAACATGTGAAAAATTCAGAACCAAATAGATGATCTGGGCTCAATCCATTTTTGCCAGCCAGTATTGCATATAGTTCTTCCCTGAGTCCCAATATTGGTGGTGCAGAGACTCCTTTTCATCTCATAGTGAAAGTGTCCAAAACATTGAGACATCACTTCCTTAACTCTAGTATAGTTGTGGCCTCTGACATGAATGTAACAGCAAGCCACTGTGAAATACTTTAGTACGTTTAAATTTTAACAGAGATCACTGTCTTAATATATGTTAATTCTCTATTTATACTTCTGTTTATAGAGTGCCATGATGATGTGGTTAAAATTGTGGAAATAGCCTGCAAGCATAACGTTTGTATTATACCATATGGTGGTAAGTTACATAGCAATTTTATGCCTTAAGGAGAATAATTGTCTTGTTTTCAGTGGCCAGAATCCAAAGTGCTGCTTCAGATATAGCTAATGGCTTTTGTATGCCCAGTGGGATTTATTTTTATTTTTATTTTTATTTTGAAGAGCAGACTCCCTTGCTATGTTGCCTTTTGCTTGAGGAAGCCTCCTCCCAAGTTCAAATGTAGCACTGTTTATTATTTTTAAAATGATTTGAGCCCCATAGTTAAGTATCTGAGAACTAGCACGAAGGCACGTGAACGAAAAATAATGTCAATGCGTTTCTTGTATCTGCAGGAGGAACAAATGTTTCTAATGCTCTTGAGTGTCCTGCTGAGGAGAAAAGAACGATTGTTTCATTGGACACCTCACAAATGGTATGTGGAAAAAGCATTTTCAGGCAAAACTGTGTAGAATGTCAGATTGTAAAAAGTATTTCAAATACCAAAAACATAACTTAAGCTGACTTCCCTCACACGGTAACAAAGACTGTGGGGAAGGTGACAATGGACATCTTTATAAGGCCTTGGCTATTTTTGGTTCCTATCCAAAAAGTTGAGTATTTTGTAGGATCAGCATGCTTGGTAGCAGAGTGAAGATTTTGAGCCTGGCTTTCTCAAGTCCCAAGCCCAGCACTCTAAGCATTATGTCACATTGGCTGTCTGTTGGGAGCATAAAGACTGCCACTGGGTTAGATAGCTAATTGATTTCATAAAGCATGAAATAGAGCTTTCAGCTTCCGAATAACTTAACAGCTAAGTTTGGAGGGGGTGGGAAGAAACACTGTGGTCCTTCTGTATACAATGCAAGGTCAACCATCTTTATTTCAGTGAATTCGTGCAGCATAAAGATGTCATTACTGATCATCAGTTTGTCCAGAATCCTTTCTCTTAAAACTTCTGTATAATATCCCCTTCTGGTTTGCGCATAGGGTGGAGCACTGCTTGGCGTGGCGTTTGCCATACTTGCCCAATCCCAGTTCATAGTGCAACACTCAACTAGGGCAAGGTGCCCCAGTAGAAAACAGGATAAGGTTCAGCAGTTAATATCTGAAGTAGGCACAAGCACATCTTGTTCCTTTTTAAAAAATCTAGCCTCTAGCAGGATTGAGTAAGGAAAAAAAAATCACCTGTTAATCTTCTTGTATCCTTTACTACTCTGAGTACTTCATCTGCAAACAATTTGCTAAGACCATATTGATTGCATTGGTAAATTGATGCATAGTTCTTATATGAATCCATGGGCCTCAGTTCCCTGTGGATATTTTTGCTTTAGGCGATTGGGCCTACATCATTACAATTTTAGTTCCTGTGTGAAACAGTAATAGTTCAGACAGGCAAAAAATACGTATGTTTACACCTTCCCATTTCCAGCCCCTGAAGGCACAATCCTATACATGTCTGCTTGGAAGTAAGCCCTATTGTGTTTAATGGGGCTTACTTTCAGGTAAGTGTGTGGAATTGGCTAAACGCTGTTGATTTTGTCAACTGTCAAATTGTTTCACAAGTCTTACTTTGGTTTCTTTGTAATAGAACAGGATTCACTGGATAGATGAGAAAAATTTAACCGCTCATGTTGAAGCTGGCATTGTTGGACAAGACTTGGAAAGACAGGTATCTTACTCCTTTGAAAATTACTTTCGGTTTTTACATTGCCAAATGTACTGTGTATATTTTCCAGGTTATTGAGTCAGCTCTGTCTTAATCATTATACCGGTTCGTGTCTTGCAGACATGACCGCGCCAGGGTAGATGTTGCTGAGATAGTAGTGTGAACATGCTGGGAAAATGAGCTTGGGAGAGCACGTCTTTGTTTGAGACTTGGTCCTGCCACGTGATGCCTCAAATCTTCCTGATGTGGCGCATGTGGAAGGCATTGAGGCATCGCTTCTGACAGGTGTAAGTTTCCCTTGGCTCACTGCCAGAAAGCAGCATGCCCAACACACAAGCCTGGTGGGACCATCTTGGGATTGGTTGTTAGCATCACATTCTCCCAGATGCTTTTGGAGAGGTGAGCCACTGCTGTAGCTGCCTTGCCAGTACACCTATCCAGCTTGGTGTTGATGGAGAGGTTGCTGGTTATGGTGGAGCCCAGGTAGACAAAACCGCCTACCACCTCAAGCATGTGGTCACCAGTGGAGTGCAGGCGACATCCTGAACCAGGATGTTGGCCATCATCAGGCTGGTGGTAAGGTTGAACTCCATTCAGGCTGGGACAAAATGGTTGGTGAGACTCCGTAGAGCTTCCTGAGAGTGTGTTGTCAAGGCTGTTACAAAAAAACCCCTCATAGATAAGGACCCGCCACGCTTTCGTTTTGGTGTGGAGGCAGGCCAGGTTGAATAGAGCCCTGTCGCTCCATGAATGGATGTACACACTGTCTTCAGTTGAGCTGAAGGCATATGAGAGCTACGGGGAGAAGAATATGTCAAAGTTGGGGCAAGAATACAGCCCTGTTTCACATCGCTCTTAAAGGGAAGGTGACAAAGGATTGCTGTAGATCAGGGTTTCCCAAAATTGGTTCTCCAGCGGATTTTGGACTACAACTCCCATCATCCCCAGCTAGCAGGACCAGTGGTCAGGGATGATGGGAATTGTAGTCCAGAAACACATTTGGGGAGCACTGCTGTGGAACTTGTCTAAAAGCATTCTCAAGTCCTACATACTTTAAAATATGTTTGAATCGTTAACTACTTGCGATACTTAGTAATAGACTTTCTGTAGATGAGTGGTCCTCCTTTAAAAGGGTTCTGTAGCTTTTTCCAAAGAAATGATTTTTGTTGCAAACTACGAACACAGCACTTTCTGATGAGATGGCCTTTCATACTTTTTATTTTTATATCCTCTTACTGTTTGATGTAGTATTTTAACCTTTCCAGAGCTGTAGCTTTTTTTAAAAAAGGTTGGAATTAAAATGCACAGAGCATATTCTCTTAATTTAAATGACATTTTTCCAGGCTAGTAACTTCGGATGTTTCACTAACTGTTCCATTCTTGAAATGCCACAGACTCTTGTCCCACTAGAATAAGGCATAATAGCTTCTTTTGCTGCAGCTTTTTTTCTTTAAAACCAAAGCAATTCCTGCCATTTCTCTTGGGGGGGGGGGGCTTCTTCTGGATCACAAAGATTGTTACTCAGTGTATATTTTTATATAATCAGAACATATTCACAGCACTTTGGTAAACATATGAAGCATGTTCAAGAGTATATACTCAAGTATTGTGAGTGGGTCATGTGGTCCTGTAGGTGTTCCTCTGCAGAAATATGTGATCTTGTTCAAAAGAATTTGCATAGCAAGGGAATTTGACATTTGACAGTGCTAGTCCACAGAAGCTCCAGCAGTGCCTATGCTTGCAATCTGTCCAGAGGATGCTAGGGGTTTGGAGTGGTTTTTCTTTTATTTTTTAAAGCTTACGTTTCATATTCTAATAATAAATTCATATACCCTGCTAGTGATTTAAACATAACCCTCATATAATGTGGCTGTTTGGAGGGGATGCTTCTTGATGTTTTATGAGAGGGCAGTATATAGTATACATTTATAAGTAAAACTGTGCTAGCACACAGTCTTGTGGTTTACATTTTAAGAGCTCAAGACTTGCTGTATTATCAGATCTTTAAGATAGGGAATGCCAATCCCTGCATCGTTGAAATGTCATGGTGACCATACTGTAGCATGTAATAAAGCAGAAGAAATGGGCAGGTATATATATTGCGTTTAAGCAATTCCAGACGCAGAGCAGCAACACTGCATGCGTGGACTTGCTCTTCCTCTCCTCACTCCTGCACCCTGAAAATCTGCTCCATACTGTCCCCACAATACTCCAGAGCAGATTATTTAGGGGGTACAGTGTGTGATGCAATTTAACTAATGGTGTGTTCTGGTGGATGGACACAATTGCATATTACTCTTATTATTATTTTACTAATAGAAGTTGTACCAGAAAACACTTGGGAGCTATTCCACCCCATAGGGCATTCTTGAATAATCCATCTCTCAGATGTTTTCAGCACATAATGTGGTTTCAAACGCAAGCCCATGTGACCAGTTCCTGTGCCAGTTGACATAAAAGACTGTTCTGCTGAGCAGTTTCATTGGGAGAGCTTTGGGGGTCAATGTATAAAGGCATTTCATTCCATTTTTGAGGCAGTGCAGATGGCAAAGCCCAACTAATAAAGAAAAATGAAACCAGTGATAAATGCGTAGAAATTCCTCATCTGCATAGCAAATATACTGTAGTATTGCACATAGAAATCCCAGCCAGATGGTTGTATATTAAGTTGCCTCTTCTTGAACGAATGGAATATAATTGGTTGCTCAGGATTTCTACAGACCCAGCTGCAGATTACCAGAACCATAACGAAGTGCTTGCTGTATTGTCTTTTAAGTGAAATCTTTTGAGCTGTAGTCTTCAAGCTAAAATTGTGTCTCATCAAATGTTCTTAATAAGGGATCATATTTAGGTATTTTGAACTGTGGGGATAAATAAGGCAAAGCTAACAGCTACATTTAATACATGCTACTGAGACCTGTGTCCAGTTCATACAATAATCTTTGGCTATTTTTCACCCTCTTCTGATTGTGTAGTCATGGGCGTAGTACAACATCAGCTTGAGGTACGTGGCTTTGCAACTGTTTTTGCAATAAGGGCGGTGTTAAAAGTACTGCCATGATAGAATCGTAGAGTTGGAAGGGACTCGGAACAGTAATCTAGTCCAGCCTCCCCCTCCCCCAAATGATGCAGCAATCACAGCTAATGCTAACGAATTGTCTCATGGGTGAATCGTCTGTGTACTTCTGCATGATTGTAGGCCCCTGTATACCGGAGGGTGATTATGTGGTGAAAACTTGGTAGCAAAAAGTATGGTTCTGTTTGGAGTAACCATGTTAATGAAAGCAGATTTTATTTTATTGGTGCAAGACAGCAGGCTTTCCTGCCCGTCTCTGGAAAGACACGCATCTACAAAGCCAAATTCTGGAGTTCAAGTTTCATTTCCTTAGAAAGCTGTTTGTTACATGAATGCTGTCGTCTTTTCATGTGTTTAGCTGGGTGAAAGCGGTTACTGTATGGGCCACGAACCAGATTCAATGGAATTCAGTACACTTGGAGGCTGGGTGGCAACGCGAGCATCAGGCATGAAGAAAAACATTTACGGAAACATTGAAGACCTGGTAATAATTCCCCCCCCCCCCCAGCAAATGATCTCATTACTGTTCATCGGTGTTTGATGCTTGTTCTAGTTCTAATCTTTTTGTCAGTTAGTGGAAACTTAGGTTGTTCTGAAATTCCAAAGATAGTGTTTTTTTTAAAAAAAACCCAGTCTAGTCTTAGAGAGGCAAAGTTGAATATTAAATGTTTTGATCAATAGTGGTATATTTGGGTTTAGGCTAATGATGGTTTTGGTATGCTCACATGCTTTTGTATGTTTCAATTCATATGTAATTTTTAGGCAAATATATTTTATTATACAGGTGGTTCATATAAAAATGGTAACCCCAAGAGGTGTGATACAGAAAAGCTGTCAAGGACCGCGTATGTCAACAGGACCTGACATCCATCATTTCATTTTAGGATCTGAAGGTATGCATCAAAATAGAATTGCAGTTTTTGTGTGCAGTTGTTTTGAGCCACAAGTCCTCTCATCCCTGACCATTGGCCATGCAGGCTGCAGCTAATGGAAGGAGTCCAAAACAACTGGAAGACATTGGATTTGATAGGGCTTATTCCTTTTGCCATAAAGAATAAGATTTCTAAGGTTGATGCCGTTAGATGCAGTGCAATTTCAACACAGTACATATAGCTGTAGACCTATTTTGGTGTGATGTAATAATTTGTACTGCTAAGGAAGAGGCTGGTGCCTTTTTCTTGGAGTAGTGCCAGATTAGTAATGCCTCTTGCTGAACACTAACTCTCCTGCATCTTAGACTGCATTTCTAAACACACTACACTGGTACCTCAGGTTACATACGCTTCAGGTTACATACGTTTCAGGTTACAGACTCCGGTAACCCAGAAACAGTACCTCAGGTTAAGAACTTTACCTCAGGATGAGAACAGAAATCACATGGTGGCATTGGGAGGCCCCATTAGCTAAAGTGGTGCTTCAGGTTAAGAACAGTTTCAGGTTAAGAATGGGCCTCCGGAACGAATTAAGTACTTAACCCGAGGTACTACTGTATTGAGTAAGCCCCACTAAGCACAGTGGAACTTTGAGTAAGCATATCTAGGGTGCTTTTTGCTTTAGCCACTCCTCTTAAAAGTCATTATAGCTTGGATTTTCTGATCATAGAAACTCTGTGTTCTATGTAAGGTGAAAAAACTAAAACAAATGGAACATCACAGCATTTTGTAACAAGGTAGCCCTGTGTATGCAATAGGTAAAAGGTGAAACACCCCTGGATGGTTAATTCCAGCCAAATTTGACCGTGGTGTCCGGTGGTGATCTCTGCTTTCAGGCCAATGGAGCTAGCATTTCATAGAATCATAGAGTTGGAAGAGACTACAAGGGCCATCGAGTCCAACCCCCTGCCAAGCAGGAAACACCATCAGAGCACTCCTGACATATGGTTGTCAAGCCTCTGCTTAAAGACCTCCAAAGAAGGAGACTCCACCACACTCCTTGGCAGCAAATTCCACTGTCGAACAGCTCTTACTGTCAGGAAGTTCTTCCTAATGTTTAGGTGGAATCTTCTTTCTTGTAGTTTGGATCCATTGCTCCGTGTCCGCTTCTCTGGAGCAGCAGAAAACAACCTTTCTCCCTCCTCTATGTGACATCCTTTTATATATTTGAACATGGTTATCATATCACCCCTTAACCTCCTCTTCTCCAGGCTAAACATGCCCAGCTCCTTAGCCGTTCCTCATAAGGCATCGTTTCCAGGCCTTTGACCATTTTGGTTGCCCTCCTCTGGACACGTTCCAGTTTGTCAGTGTCCTTCTTGAACTGTGGTGCCCAGAACTGGACACAGTACTCCAGGTGAGGTCTGACCAGAGCAGAATACAGTGGCACTATTACTTCCCTTGATCTAGATGCTATACTCCTATTGATGCAGCCCAGAATTGCATTGGCTTTTTAGCTGCCGCGTCACACTGTTAGCTCATGTCAAGTCTGTGGTCAACCAAGACTCCTAGATCCTTTTCACATGTACTGCTCTCAAGCCAGGTGTCACCCATCTTGTATTTGTGCCTCTCATTTTTTGTGCCCAAGTGCAATACTTTACATTTCTCCCTGTTAAAATTCATCTTGTTTGTTTTTGCCCAGTTCTCTAATCTGTCAAGGTCGTTTTGAAGTGTGATCCTGTCCTCTGGGGTGTTAGCCACCCTCCCAGTTTGGTGTCATCTGCAAATTTGATCAGGATGCCCTTGAGTCCATCATCCAAGTCGTTGATAAAGATGTTGAATAAGACCGGGCCCAAGACAGAACCCTGTGGCACCCCACTAGTCACTCTTCTCCAGGATGAAGAGGAACCATTGATGAGCACCCTTTGGGTTCGGTCAGTCAGCCAGTTACAAATCCACTGAGTGGTAGCATAGTCAAGACCGCATTTTACCAGCTTCTTTACAAGAATATCATGGGGCACCTTGTCAAATGCCTTGCTGAAATCAAGGTAGGCTACATCCACTGCGTTCCCTTCATCTACCAGGCTTGTAATTCTGTCAAAAACGAGATCAGGTTAGTCTGACATGACTTATTTTTCAGAAATCCATGCTGACTATTGGTGATCACAGCATTCCTTTCTAGGTGCTCACAGACTGTTTGCTTAATGATCTGCTCCAGAATCTTCCCTGGTATTGATGTCAGACTGACTGGGCGGTAATTATTTGGGTCCTCTCTTTTCCCCTTTTTGAAAATAGGGACAACATTTGCCCTCCTCCAGTCTGCCTGGACTTTGCCTGTTCTCCAGGAATTCTCAAAGATGACTGCCAGTGGTTCTGAGATCACATCTGCCAGTTCTTTTAATACTCTTGGATGCAGTTCATCTGGCCCTGGAGACTTGAATACATCTAAATTAGCCAAGTATTCTTGTACTATCTCCTTAGTTATTCTGGGCTGTGTTTCCTCTGCTGAATCATTTGCTCCAAATTCTTCAGGTCGGGCATTGTTTTCTTTATCGGAGAAGACTGAGGCAAAGAAGGCATTGAGGAGTTCAGCCCTTTCTGTGTCCCCTGTTTGCATTTCACCATCTTCTCCTCTGAGTGACCCCACTGTTTCTTTGTTCTTCCTTTTGCTACAAACATACCCATAAAAGCCTTTTTTGTTGCTTTTAACCTGTCTAGCAAGCCTGAGTTCATTCTGTGCTTTAGCTTTTCTGACTTTGTGTCTACACGTGCTGGCTATTTGTTTGAATTCCTCTTTGGTGGTTTCCCCCCTTTTCCATTTTTTGTACACATCCTTTTTTAATCGTAACTCAGTTAAAAGTTCTTTAGATAGCCACCCTGGCTTCTTTAGGCACCTTCCATGTTTCCGTCTCATTGGTATTGCCTGAAGTTGTGCTTTTACTATCTCCCTCTTAACAAACTCCCAGCCATCATGAACTCCCTTTCCTTTTAGTATTACTGTCCATGGGATCTCACCCAGCACTTCCCTAAGTTTTATGAAGTCGGCTTTCTTAAAGTCAAGAAATTGAGTCCTAGTATGCTTGGCTGCTCCTTTCCGCTGTATAATAAACTTCAGAAGAGCATGATCACTCGCGCCTAATGATCCTTCCACTTCTACCCCACTAACCAGGTCATCAACATTGGTTAGGACCAGATCTAAAATGGCTGTTCCTCTTGTTGCTTCTCCCACTTTCTGGACAATGAAGTTGTCTGCAAGGCCAGTGAGGAATCTGTTTGACCTTATGCTCTTGGCTGAGTTTGACATCCAACAAATATCCGGGTAATTTAAGTCCCACATTACTACTATCTCCCTTCCTTTTGCATGCTTGGCCATCTGTTCCAGGAAGGCATCATCTATGTCCTCCGTTTGGCTTGGGGATCTATAGTAAACTCCCACAATGAGGTCACTGTTATTCTTCTCTCCCTTAATTTTGACCCAAATGCTCTCACTTTGGCTTTGAGGTTCTAAATCTTGGATCTCTTCACAGGTATACACATCCCAGACATATAACGCCACTCCTCCTCCTTTCTTGTCTGGTCTATTTCTCTGAAATAGATTGTATCCCTCCATTATTACATTCCAATTGTGGGACTTATCCCACCAGGTTTCAGTGATGCCTATTATGTCATATTTAGTTTGCTGTACCAAGAGCTCAAGCTCATCTTGTTTATTTCCCATGCTTTGCGCATTAGTGTACAGACATTGAAGTCCATTAATCATTCCCCCGTGTCTCTTATTTAAGGATTTTTTCCTCCCACCACTAGGTCTGCGTGCTGTTTGCTCCATTTGGTCTATGACATTTGGATGATCATCTTCATCAATTGATAGACTCCTACCTTCAGGAGCACTGTTTCCCTCCCCCACATTAGTCAGTTTAAAGCCCTCCTGATGAGGTTTCTGAGATTTTGGCAAAAATATTCCTCCCAACCGTTGTGAGGTGCAGCCCATCGCTTGCCAGAAGTCCATCTTCAAGAAACTGCAGTCCGTGATCTAAGAATCCAAACCGTTCCTGTTTACACCATTTGCGAAGCCAGCTGTTCACTTCCACTATTTTCCCTCTCTCCCTGGGCCACGTCGTTCAACTGGGAGGACAGATGAGATGACAATTTGTGCATTTAATTGCTTCAATTTCCTGCCCAGAGCCTCGTAGTCTCTTTTGATCTTCTGGAGGCTATTGCTTGCAGTGTCATTGGTTCCCACATGAACCAAGAGGAAGGGTTATTTGTCAGTGGGTTTTATGATTCCTTGCAGTCGTTCAGTTACATCTTGGATCTTAGCCCCGGGGAGACAGCACACTTCCCGAGACATCTTGTCAGGCCCACAGATCACTGCTTCTGTTCCCCTCAGTAGGTAATCCCCTATCACCTACACTACACGCCTCCTCTTAGGTTTGGTCGGGGTTCTTCCGTGAGCTGTCCGTTCTAAGGTCGCCTGCGCATTCCCTGAGGACTGACTTTGCTGCTCGTCTTCATTTACCTGATCGACTGTAATGAGGGAGAGATCCTCAAATGGAGTCTGTTCTTCGTCTTCCATGCTAGGGGAGAGGACCTCAAAGCGATTGTGTATTTCTAAACAATCAGAGCGAACCCTGGGCCTCCTACTTCTTTGAGTCACGTTTCTCCATATCTGGCTCCTGTGTTGGTGAACTAGCCTCCTTCTCAGCGGAGTCCCCTGTCTCCTCCTTGGTGGAGACGGTGTGCTCTGTTGCTTCCAAGAAGAGCTCCAACTCTCTAATTCTTTGGAGCGTAGCTACACATTCCTCCAGTTGCTGGACTTTGTCTTTTAAGAGGGCAATCAACATGCAATTGCTGCAGTTAAAGCTGCCTGCAACCTTTGGCAAGATGGCAAACATTGCGCAGGAACCGCAGGCGACTGCAGCTGTTCCCTCCCCCTCCATCTTGAGAACGTGTCGTTAGGGGTGGCAACAGCAGTCCTCCATCATAAAAAGCGTGAAGACAGGACAAATAACTCCCCCCACAAAAAAAACCTAGGTCTCCCCCAACAAACGTTTGAGACTAGCTCCCCTAAATCTAAAAGATGGATCAAACTGCGCGCGCCACTAGGCCTCTGACCTTTGCACAGGGAGAGCAGCTAATCAGCCACAAAGAAACGCACACACACAAGAAAACCCTTTTTGCTCCTTCTTCAACTGCTGCCCTGCAAGCTCTCACAGACAGCTTTTCTGGGTCATGTGGCCAGCATGACTCAACCACTTTTGGCGCAACGGGACTCCGTGACTAAAGCTAGAGCACATGGAAACACCATTTACCTTCCCGCCACAGCAGTACCTATTTATCTCCTTGTGCTGGTTTGCTTTTGAACTGCTAGGTTGGCAGGAGCTGGGACAGAGCAGCGGGGGCTCATCCCATCGCAGGGATTCGAACTGCCAACCTTCCGATCAGCAAACCCAAGAGGCACAGTGGCTTAGACCACAGCGCCATCACGTCCCTGTTATTCAATAGGGCATTACAGTACAGAGTACCTAGTTTCCTAGAGGTGCTTCATTTGCAGTGGACATCCAGCTAAATGTTGGATTACAAGAGTACAGAGATGAAAATTCTCTGTCGGGATTAAGTAGGGACAGTAGAACTCTGGTGCGCTGTGTTTGCTGAAGCGTTAAACTAATTTATTAAAACCGTTTTAGAGTTCTCATTTGGAATAAGGGAAAAGTGATGGACACGTGACAGATAATGTGAAATTGCCCTTTTTTTAGTCTACATTGTCATTTTACAAAATCTGTGCAAGCCTATCCCGTCTGAGCAAGCGTATCAGCTTGCTGGACAGAACAATTCCCTCTCTCCCAGCCCCTTCTCCTGACCTCCCCAGAAGCCATTGCACTGGGCTTCAATTGATGCTGATACACAATGATGCACAATACATTTCTATGAAGAAATTCTGAGGCACTCTGTGTTGTAGTGCATTGACCCATTTTATTTACTACATGCAGTAGCTCGGGCATGGTGCCAAACCATGGATTGACTTAGTTATAGATGAGAACCCAGACTATTTTGACTACCAAACATACAAGGCAGCCATAGTTACAGAGTTGCTGGTTTGCTTGCAGTTTCTTTCTGTTCAGCACACTTCCACTTGATTGCTGGGCACACGCTGCCTTGTTTCCCAGTACTTTTTTTCTGTTCTGTTTAAATGATTGGCAGGTGCTGTCAAAATATGAGAAAGCCTCTTTTGATGTTTTGCTTGATACTAAACAGTGCAAAACAATTTCTTTCTATATTGGTCCTTTTGGAAGAAAAACACCTAGCACACTAGTTATAACTTGCCCTTGGTGCTTATTTCCAGTGCTTTTTTTTCTAAAAAAAAAAATGTTTAGGGGGTACTCTCATTTTCCTACTCATATTGAAATACTGCCCCTCAATGAGGCCAAACATAGATTCACAAAATGTTTAGGGGTATGCGTCCCCCCAGAAAAAAGCACTGCTTATATCATAGTTTTAACTACACTACGTTGAAAGAGCAAAGCTTTCTTCACATTATGATGGAACTTTGAAATTACATCAATATTTAATCTTACGAATTTTATTTCTACAATTAGAAAGCTAATCCTCACAGTTTGATAAATACTGCATTAACTGAACATTACTGCGCTAACTGAACACCGCCGTTTGGAGGTTCTGGAATAGGAAATATTTGTTAAAGAATTGGGCATGGTTTTCAAAATAAACAAAGATGGGATTCTTAATTTTGCCTATTAAATCACAAAATGATTTTTGTAAATCTTTCGACGATAGCAAAATGACCATTTCCCTCTTTTTATAAAGGAACCCTTGGAGTGGTAACAGAAGTTACAATAAAAATTCGACCAATCCCTGAATACCAAAAGTATGGGTCTATAGTATTTCCAAACTTTGAGAAAGGGGTGGCCTGTTTAAGAGAAGTAGCAAAGCAGGTAAAGTAACCTTATCTTCAAGTTGTTTTATTGCACTTTTTATTTATTTATATAAAAAAGAGTAGTATCAAAATGCTTTCACTAGATGGCATGCTAATGCTCTGCTCTGCTGTCTTTTTCTTGAGGCTGGGCAATATGCTTAAAGGGGAAATCTCCCACTAAGCTTCTGGGAGATTGCTAAATTGAATGTTAAGATTTTATATTGCTCTGGTTTGCTTTCCTGGATTTAGTATCCCCCCCCCCCCCCCGCTGTAATTAGGCAGCAGCTATTGCTTCAAACTTGAAAACATTTACAAATTAGCATAAAAGGGCTTGGGAAACTGTATTGCTAGCATACTGAGTTCAGGGTGAGATCTGGGCCAGTTAAAGTATTCAGTGTCCTTATTTAACAAATGACTCATTGTAAAAATGTTGCCCTTTACATCCTTCTCCCTCTTCTTTATTATATTCCCCAGTCAGTCCAATAAATAATTCCCTTATTCTGTACCTTTTCCATAGGTCAGTCTTTGTTTGTTTCCCCCCACCCCCTTTGTTAGAATACCTAGTTTCTTGGGTATACACAAAATGTGTGTGCATCTGTCTGCACACAATTATCTTTTGCACTGCATATAAGTTCTGTTCCGTCTTTCTCAGTTAATGGTTGTATCCAGCTAAGTTCTACTCAGAGTGTAGTCGTTTCCATTAATTTCAGTGGGTATCCTCTTAGTATGACTAACATTGTCAACAACCCAACATATATATATATAAAACCATTTGCTTACAATTTCTTCTATTTTATTATTGACATGGGGAACACACTCTTTTTAACAATGACAGGGCATTATTAGTAGGTCCTAGAAGGTGCGCCAACTCTCCCCCCACTAAACTTGAATATTTCCCCCATTGTTCCAAGTAGTTTCTAAAACCTTACATAGCATTGATCCATAGAGAGCTGGTTCTATATCTTAAATGTATGTATTTGAGGCTGGACAGACTACAAACAGGGGTATGCTATCAAAGGCCAGATGTTGACCTAATGTAATACAATGCAAATTTTGCAAACCACATTAATCTTAATCAGTCTGGGCCTCTGTGTTAAGATTACCGAATGTGTTTTTTTACAGCATGATGTAACTCCTTTATAGAGGTTCAGTATTTGACTGTATTTCATCCCATGCCAGATTTTTCTTTAAAAAATTACACAATTGCTTTACTTTCTATCGGTGTTCTTTATTCACATGCAACTTGTCTCTTTATAGCGATGTGCTCCTGCATCCATTCGCCTTATGGACAATAATCAATTTCAATTTGGTAAGTTTTTACTAATTTTGCTCATGATTTGCTTTTGTAAACCTGCGCCGAACCTTGTGGTCTGATAGCGGGTATTCTGTGACCTTGGCGATAGGGGATTGAAAATTAAAAATGTGCCCCCTCTTTCCCATACTCCCTTGTCATTCTCCAGTTTTTGCCTCTCCCAGCTTTGGTGCCAGTAACCATGGTTCATTGTAGTGACCAATATCTAGAGACCTGCTCAGGTAGTTCTGCATGGCTAAGGCAGTTTTGGACTTGTGGTTCTTGAGCATCCCCTGCTGCCGAGCAAACAGCTTTTGCAAATAAGTTGGTTTGTCAGCTGTCAAGGAAAAAAGTCAAAGAGCTTGACCTCTTTGACTCTAGACTTGGTTAATTCTAACCCAACATTTGAAATCAGAATTTAAAGGGACGAGGGCATGATCTGCAGTTGGTTACTAATTCCAATGTTTTCAGTTCATTCCTTTGTGCCATTCATCACTGACGTCAGATGGAGTTGATTATGCAGTATGGATACTTTGATTATTTTCTACCTTTCTGCTGACTGCACTGGGCTCTCAGTGACTCACATAAAATCCAAATGCAGTCAAAACCATTCTTCAAAATTAAGATTGTAGTGTCTTAATTGATTGATTCCCCCCCCTTTAATTAAAAACCTCTTGATCAACTGATCAGGGGCACCTTAATTAGACAACACATTTTTAAGTGATTTAAAACATATATAGTCTCATTTATCTTAGAGGCATTCCTACCTTCTCTCGCACAAGAAGAAATGTTTCTCCACACACGCATCATCTGAAAACAGAGCATACTTAGTTTTTCCATTCTGTTTATTAGTATGCATACTTTGTAGGTTTAATCAATTAAAATTCACATTATTTTTCAGTTTCTTTGATTGGATGGTGTCCCTAAAGAGAGAAAGCTTAAAAGCAAGACAAAAAATATACCCTCATAAAGTGCAGCAGCAGTCATTGTACTAGCAGTCTCCCCCTAAAGCTTGTTGAAATAATAAAAAGAACCATCTTCTGATTCTTACATCTCTTTCCTTCTACCACTACTTTGTTGGTTTATTCTCTTTAAGAAAATTAGAACATTTTTGGGCAGACAGAGCTTGACTGAGGAAGTTGACTTAGGGCTGCAGTTAATGAAGAAGAGCATTTGATTGTTCTAGAGTTGTGGGAGCAGCCTTAGTGAACAAGGGTTCTTTGTTGCATTGGGGGCGTGAAATACCATCTCCCACCCCATTCTGACTTGTCAGCAAAAGCTAGATAATGTAGGCAAAAATAATCTGAGACTAGGTAAACATCTCCTAGCACTTCTACTATAGATAGCATTGAGTCAAAGTCTAAGATTGTTACAGAAGTAGTTGTGTAAAATGTCTTACGTGAATGTCTCCACTAGATGAAAAGCTGATCCACAAACAGAACTTCAGCGCTAGGTTTCTCCCATCGGTGTGTGTGTGTGTTTGTAATCTGTAAAATAAACAGCCAAATTAACTTTTGAATGCATGAATATACAAGTGGCTTCTAAACAAACAAAAATAGGGAATCTACCTGACTTTATGGACGGGACTGGGGAGTAGCAAATACATCTGTTCTCTGTAGTGCAGAGGTAGTCATTCTGTAGGAAAGAGAATCACAGACTCCTATTTTGATGTACTTTTGTAAGCAGGCAAAGAATTAGACTTGACAGATTTCACCGAGTTTTCAGATTTCTTGCATTTATGCCTAAACGTGCAGGGTTCCCATAAGTCCCTTGCAACAGTGTTAGTGGTAAGTTTATTTTGCTAAGAAATGGAGCACTTACTAATAAAAAAACTTTAAGCTCCAGCTTTTCAGTCACATTTCCAAATAAAATTCTGAACTCCATTAATATAGTTGTCTTACATTTTTTTTCCTTTTTCCTAACTCTTGCCAAGGACATGCTCTTAAACCACAGGTTTCTTCAATTTTTACATCGCTTCTGGACGGGTTGAAAAAATTCTACATCACAAAGGTATTTAATTTTTATCCTCGGCCTCTAATTAATTCAGATTCTAAAAGCTTTGGACCCACGTGCCTGCAAAAGCACACTGTATAAAATTGCATGTTAGGTCTTCTCTTCTTCCCCCACACCAAATCTTAACCTGGATTTTAAAAAAAGAAGTGTACTTAATGTTTACACTAGTGCAGAGTCTAAGAGTGCAAATGGCAGAACAGCATCTGCCAGCTGTTTTAGTTGAGAGTAGTAGTACAACGGGACACGGGTGGCGCTGTGGGTTAAACCACAGAGCCTAGGACTTGCCGATCAGAAGGTCGGCGGTTCAAATCCCCGCGACGGGGTGAGCTCCCGTTGCTCAGTCCCTGCTCCTGCCAACCTAGCAGTTTGAAAGCACATCAAAGTGCAAGTAGATAAATAGGTGCCACTCCAGCGGGAAGGTAAACGGTGTTTCCGTGCGCTGCTCTGGTTCGCCAGAAGTGGCTTAGTCATGCTGGCCACATGACCCAGAAGCTGTACGCCGGCTCCCTCGGCCAATAAAGCGAGATGAATGCTGCAACCCAAGAGTCGTCACGACCGGACCTAATAGTCAGGGGTCCCTTTCCCTTTACCTAGTAGCACAACACAGGTGGGGAAGAGAGGTGGGAACTTCTGGTGTCAGAGTTCCTGCATTTATCTGAATGAGAAATATTTTTGCGTGTGCAAGACATCTCTTCATTGACTTGTTGGCCTCTACCATTAGGGGTGGGGGAGAAAAAAAAGCGAAACCTTACACACCAATAGGCTGTTCCTGCTAATCTTGATGCCAACATATTAATTCTGTATCCTCCATAATTTTAGCAGCAGAAGTTTGTTGAACTTGGAAAGTTTCAAAATGAAATTTCGTGTTCAGAGAATAAAGATTCACTTATTATCAGAAACACCAACATGGCAGTAGTTGTAAATGGTTACAGAATAGAAAATAATGGATGCTTTACAACACTTTGGTTGCTCTCCCCCCCCCCCTTGCATTTGTAAAAGTGAATTTTCAGATTGGTTCTCTTGACGGCATCCTCTTGAGCGTTTCTCTTAAGTATTGCCCTTTCAAATTTGTGCCATGTTACCTTGAAATATGCCTCCTGTTTATGCTAAAATGCTTGTGAATCTGCTTTAGAAGTATTGTGTTCAAAATAAGTTAGGAACATGAATATATTGTAAATGACTTAAAATGGTGGATCAACATGAATAATGGTATCTTCTTGTACTACCTTCATATAATGGAGATGCCTGTCTTTCCACAGTTCAAAGGATTTGATCCCAATATGCTATGTGTCACCACCTTACTTTTTGAGGGAGACAGAGAGAAGGTTCTTCAGCATGAAAAGCAAGTTTACGATATTGCTGCAAAATTTGGGTATGAAACCTTCATATCTTAATAGTTAAGCAATGTGTTGAAAAGTCCAAAATCTTTGTAGAGCTGAAAACCAGAGGCCTTTTATGAAAATTTATGGAAATCATGAGGTATCATGCATTTTTTCAATAATACAAAACCATTTTGGAAAGTGAGAATGAAATTGTAGACATTAACTAAGAGGTTAGTGCATAAAAATGTACCTGAAAACACAAGAGTCATTTGAATTTGCTTGAGCGGAAATGTTTGTAGGGACTTAACTGTGATACGAAATTGAATACATTTTGCCATAGTCCAGTTGAGGTCAGGGCTATTTCCTTTTCTCTGTAGCACACGAAAGGGACTTTTGTGACACTAAACAAACAAATCTTAACACACTGAAGGAGAGCATTGTTTTGAGCATTATACCTTAATCCTGTGCATTATTGACTAAAGCTGTGACTCAGGCCAGCCTGTTTTAAAAAGGAAATTGTATTTAATCAACAGAACTTGATTAATTATATGTATTCCACCTCCTGTCACTGATTGCTCTGTGCTGTTACAAAGGAACAGAAAACATTTCACTTTAATAACAAGCTGAGTAATGATAGGGTGGTTTGTGTCCATCTGGTTTGATTGATTACAGGACTAATCAATGAAACCACGGTGAAGATATTTGTCTGGGCCACAACTTTATTTCCCATTTAAGCAAATTATTACTTAGATCACTGTGTTTAATGGGGAAAAACAGACACTCTGCAAATGTTCTGCGTTACAGGTTCACTAACCTAATATCTGAATGACATGTTACAACTCTCAACTTCCCATTCTCAGCAAAATGTCCTTTCAAGAAGCAGTGAACTGAGATTTAAGGGGCAGGCTGATAGGGGACAGAAGTAAAACACCTTCTGAAATATAGATACTTTGTGAACATTAAGCAATTACAGGATAGCCTGGCAGCTTAAAAAGTAGGAGCTGTCTGGCATTCTTGGTCAAACATCTGGGGTGGCCCAGCCAGATGGGCGGGGTACAAATAATAAATTATTATTATTATTATTATTATTATTATTATTATTATTATTATTTGCTAACCTTGAAGCTAGAAGACGAGGAGAACTGGAACAGACAGCCACTGTTAGCTGTTTTGGCTACTAACCCCAAAACTCAGCTTGTTCACCTAGAGGGTGTTTTCCTTGTACTTGCTGCCCCTTTGCTCTTCTGCCAGAAGAACAAGGGGATAAAGTGTTGTCAGCTTATCCAAGAATACCCCACCATGTTGCCCCAGCTGTCAGCTGCTGCCCATGGCTAGCTAGAATACTGCCAGGCTGCACATGCCTGCTTGGGTTTCAGAGTTTTCTCTGCCTCAAATGTGCCAGTGAAACTGAAAGCACAAATGTCAGCTTACAGGTGAAGTGCCTATATAGCCAGCAGCACAGCCAGGCTAAGCTGCCATTTCGGTTTTCACTGGGGGGCCCCTCACTTGAGGGAAACAGGCATGTAACAGACACCATGCTTACCTGCTGTTTGCATAGAAGTGTTCTCCTTGGCCCCTGAAGTCTCTTGAGTTGAAGCTGCATGCTGTTTTTCATTCATTTCATTTGGTATTTGAGAAAAGCTCTTAAAAGAAAATGCTGCTGAAAATAGCGGACATTTCTCTCACAATTTCTATCGCACGCTGCTATATCTGAGCAGGCTGAAAGCAAAGAGTAAGGTTACCGTAACTTCCGTCATAGAGCTTCAGTATGCTGATGACAACATAGTGTGTGCAAGCTCAGAGGATGACTGCCAAACCATCCTAAATATATTTGCAGAAGCTTACGAAAATCTTGGCCTATCACTCAGCATCCAAAAAACCAAAGTGCTGCACCAACAAGTACAAAATAACCCCTCTGCAGCGCCACAAATTCAACTCAATAGTGTAACGCTGGAAAATGTTGATCACTTCTCCTACCTGGGCAGTTATTGTTCCACAAGGGCCAACATTGATGCTGAAATCCAGCATCGCCTGAGCTCTGCGAGTGCGGCTTTCTTCTGACTGAAGTGCAGAGTGTTTGAGGACCGGGACATTCGCAGGGAAACCAAAATGCTTGTTTACAAAGCATTTTGTACTACCAACCTAACTGTATGCTTGTGAAACATGGACCACTTATAACCGCCATCTCCAACTCCTCAAAAGATTCCATCAACGGTGTCTCCGAAAATTTGTACACATCACTTGGGAAGACAGGCGAAATAATACCAGTGTACTGGAATAAGCAAATATCATCAGTGTTGAAGCAATGATTCTTCAACATCAACTTCATTGGACTGGTCATGTTGTGCAGATACCTGATGATCGTCTTCCAAAGCAACTGCTCTATTCCGAACTTAAAAATGGAAAGCGTAATGCTGGTGGTCAACAAAAGAGGTTTAAAGGCTGTCTCAAGGCAAATCTTAAAAAATGTAGTATAAACACCAACAATTGGGAAATACTTGCCTGCAAGCACTCCAATTGGAGAACAGCCTTTACCAAAGGTGTCATGGGCTTTGAAGACACTTGAACTCAGGACGCAAGGGAGAAATGTGCTAAAAGGAAGGCATGCTTGGCAAATCCACACCGCAATCAACTTCCTCCTGGAAACCAATGTCCCCACTGTGGAAGGACATGTGGATCCAGAATTGGCCTCCACAGTCACTTACGGCTTCATTGTTAAAACAGTGTGTATGGAAAGACAATCTTACTTGGCTATGAGTGATCGCCAAAGAAAGAAAGAAGAAGGTAGTCTTATTTCATACTGCCAGGTAGCAAAAATCCCTCCCTCTTGTCTCTTTCGGATCTCCAGGAGGCCTGAGCTCTATATTTAAAACTAAATGAAGATTATGAAGGGAAGCTGGACTAAATCTAAATTAGATGTGCCTGTTCTTTAAACCTACCAAACTAGCAAGAATCAGAAGGGTATAGGTGATTGTTGCTACTTGAAATTTAAAATAATAAAAGTAAAATGAGATATGATTGCCTGTCACTTTGCTATTTTGTTCCTACATGCCTTATATTTTATTTTTTCTTCAAAGAAAATGAGTTTAGGCAGTCCTGCCACTCTGTTATTTTTTTTGGGTCAGCTTCTCAAATACACACACACTTAAACTTAATATGTATTTATTTAGAGCATTTGTACCCCAGTCTTCAGCCAAAATGGCTCCCAGAGCAGCTTCCATAAAAATCAATTGAAATGGGGCATTTTAAACGGAACTTAATTTACCTGCCTAAATTCTTGATTGGAAACAACCTTGCTGTAAACCATTTCATGCTTTAGGAATAACTGATGTATTATGATATTTTACTGTCCTTAAATTATAGTGGTTTGGCAGCTGGAGAAGACAATGGACAGAGAGGATACATGCTAACGTTTGTCATTGCTTACCTTCGGGTAGGTCTCTTATTTTATTTATTTTTTAAAAAACTCAGTTTCCCATTATGTACTGTGCTGTTGTGTATATGAGACAAGGAGGGGGGAAGGTGTTGCATATTTTAATGGTTCAGAGTTTTTTCATATACAAAACAACAACATTCATGTTGGGCTGCTCTGCTTTCTTGTTACACTTCCTAAAAATTTGTGCAGTTGCAGAATTTTGCCTACAGGATGCACACCGACCCCATGACAAATGAATCGGTCAGCTTTAGTTTGGGAAGGATTAGATGGGGAGGAAGTTTGAATCCAGGTCTATCCACATTCTCTTCCCCCACCCCACCCCAAAACAGCTTGAAGAAAGATCTCTCAGCTACCTAGCCCTGATCATCTCATTAGGTAGATATATGAAGGTCAGTAGGCACTGTTCAGGAACAGGCCAGCAATGAGGTGAGGCCATTTGCTTTTGGCAGCAGATCTGACCCCACCATTGCGCTGTTATCAAGGAGAGGTGAGGGGAAGACAGGGTCCTAGAGTCGTTCCTCCCAAAGCCCAATTAGTGCTTTTCCAGTTTGGGGAAGGAGGTAGGGGGGCTCTAGGATCCTGGCAGAGCCTTACGCCTCCTTCTCAAAGCCCAGTGCATCACTTAGTCTGCTTTAGGGACTGTGGCAAATCTCTGTGGCAAAGCTCTTCCTGATTAAAAAAAACCATGACTTGACCTGATAACATGTCAGCTGTGTTCCTGATGCCTAAAGGCTGAAAAGACTATAGCAATTTGAAGTACCGTATTTTACGCCCTATAGGACGCACTTTTTCCCCTCCAAAAATGAAGGGGAAATGTGTGTGCGTCCTATGGGGCGAATGCAGGCTTTCGCTGAAGCCTGGAGAGCGCGAGGGGGCGGTGCGCACCGACCCCTCTCGCTCTCCAGGCTTCAGGAAGCTATCCCCCCAGCCCCGCAAGCTCCCAGAGCGATGCCGAAGCTGCGCGCAGCTTTGGCATCGCTCTGGCACCCGTTCTGGGGGCAGGGGTCGGGGGAAGCTCGGGCATCCCCCGCCCCAGCCCTGCGCCTGGGGGGGGGGGAATAATTTTTTTCCCTTTATTCCCCCCCCCCCCCAAAAAATAATCTAGGTGCGTCCTATGGGCCGGTGCGTCCTATAGGGCGAAAAATACGGTAGTTGGTAGAATAAACAAATTTACGCAGTAGGTCCTGGGAGTATGCTAGGTCTCTTTGACATATTAATAGACTTGAATGTTTTGGGTTCTGTGATTATACAAAATAGCAGCTTCGAGGCCTATAGAGACATAACTTGAGGAGTTCTAATCTGCAAATGATCTCCTCTCTAGGACCTGGGCATGGATCATTATATAATAGGAGAATCGTTTGAAACGTCTGTTCCCTGGGACAGGTAAAACCAGTGCATTTTCTGTTTTTGCATTGTCTGAAGTCGTAAAAGCTGTGCACCATATGAAAAGGGTCACTAAAGTTTTCCAAAATTAGTAAGGTGAGATTATACATTTTTCTGGCCATGTGTGACCTACTTTAGAAGTAGAATTTCTAATGAGGGTTCTTGTTGAATTAAACAAGCCACTGATTTTTATCCAAGAATATATTGAGAAAACAGCTAATTTCTCTCAGCTGATAAGCAAGTGAATGGCTTCCTGTATACATAACTGTTTTCCGAAGACCATCCAAATCTAGTCCTACAATTCTAGGAGGCCGTTGGGTTCAGATAGTATATAGAGCTTCATGTTCCACATGCATAATTGTTCTTAACTGTTATCATTTTCCAAATACAACTTTCATGTCCTACAACATGCATAAACACAATTTTCTGGATTGGGCCTTCCATTTGTGAGAAGCTTCTCTGTATCTGTACCGTACATTACATAACTTTGACTTCCTTCAGGATCATGGCAGTTTTGAAACAACAAATGTAGATTTAGTTCATGTGAAATACTTGCATCCCATCAAACAGTTTGCAAGCCATGCCCATCAACATCTTAAAGGTAAAGGGACCCCTGACCATTAGGTCCAGTCGTGGCCGACTCTGGGGTTGCGGCGCTCATCTCGCTTTATTGGCCGAGGGAGCCGGTGTACAGCTTCCGGGTCATGTGGCCAGCATGACTAAGCTGCTTCTGGCGAACCAGAGCAGAGCATGGAAATGCCGTTTACCTTCCCGCCGGAGCGGTACCTGTTTATCTACTTGCACTTTGATGTGCTTTCGAACTGCTAGGTTGGCAGGAGCAGGGACCGAGCAACGGGAGCTCACCCCATCACTGGGATTCGAACCGCCAACCTTCTGATCGGCAAGTCCTTGGCTCTGTGGTTTAACCCACAGTGCCACCTGTGTCCCTATATCGACATCTTATATAGGAGCATTTACAAAGTAAGTGTGGGCCATGTTATCTGTTGCAGGATTAGCGTTAGGAGGAGCTTGGCAGAAATATACGGTATCTGCTTTGTCAGATTATGCAGTAGATACACCTAACTAGAAGAGGATTCCTAAGTGGTGAGCTGTTGGGCAAAATATTGCAATAGATGCCACAGCTGTAACAAAGAAGGAAATGTTTTCAAGAAATAAGGAAATACAGTGCGCGCGTGCGCGCACACACACACACACATCAGCACTGTGTTCAAAACTCTTCCTCCACCAGGAGCAGACCATTAGTGCTGGAGAACTATGTGACTTTTTGCATTTCTTTTCCTCTGTAAACTCAGCCATTTTCTTTTTGCATTGCAAACGTTAGTATGTCCAAACATTGCATTTAGAATCCTACTAAACTTTATTCTTTTCTGGCAACCTGTGTTTTAAAGCAAACAAGCTGAATTTAACCTTGGCTCCTTAACACTTATAAACTTACAGTGCTGACAGATAAAACTGCACAACAGACTTAAACTTAGAATCATTTCTTTTAACGAAACAAAATGTGCTTCAATTTAACATAATTTGTTTAAAAAACAAAACACTACTGAAATGCAATATAAATCTCACATAACTCTCTAATAAATATGTACACAAAATAAGTGTACTTCTCTGTTATATTTTGCTTCAGGGTTCTAGACCTTTGCCGAAATGTGAAGGAAAGAATAGTAAGAGAAGGCAAAGAAAGAGGCGTTCAGTTCCCACCTTTCGTTTCCTGTCGGTAAGACACATTAAATTTCAGCTGCCTATGAAATTGAATGAAATCAGTCTAAATTAAGGGCAATAGCAGTCTTGATATTCTTTTGATTTGAGGTGGTTGGGGGAAAAGGGCCAGATCTTGGTTTTGGGACACCACGACCATACTGTCTGATAGATCCACCCTCTCCCGCTACCCAATGCCAGGATTGGTGGCTTATCATTTTTTTCCTGTACATATGCAAATACCAAAGTGTAACAGCATGTACATTATGGCATTGGTGAAGCAGAAGTGTACCTAGGTAAAAAATATATATCAGAATTGTATTTCTCATTGCATTGCTATTTCCCCCCTTTTAGCCCTATTGGTGAGTGCTGATAGCTATTTTTACCTAGTAAAACTATCTCATATTCCCATTGTCCATAGCATAGCTGTCAATGTTTCCCTTTTTTAAAGGGAAATTCCCTTATTCCGAATAGGATTCCTCGCAAGAAAAGGGAAAAGTTGACAGCTATGGTCCATAGTGGTCTTCATCAGGAGTGTACAATTAAACTTCAAGCATAGTCCTTCCCCTTCTTGCACCTTGAGTATTTTAATGTGTTGAAACAAAATTGTGGGTTCTGTTTTTTAAGAGGCAGCTTTTGTGCCTTTCTGGTCACTGCACCTCAAAAAGTATATTGTAGAGTTGAAAAAGGTTCAGACAAGGGCAAAACGGTCCTGGGGATTGGAGTTCATAACATGATACGTGGCACAGAGAAAGCAGATCTAGAAAGGTTTTTCTCCCTCATTACACTAGAACTCTTGGGCATGTGGTGAAGCTGAATGTTGGAAGATAAAAGCAAGTGCATAGTTAAATCATGGAGCTTGCGCCTACCGGGGATGGGCACCCAACTAGATATCTTGGAAAGAGCATTCAGCAAAGCTTATCAGCAACTGCTAGCCACAAGGGCTGTGTTGTGCCTCCATAGTAGGAGGTGATGGGCCTCTGAATACCAGTTGCCAGGAATCGCAGATGGACGGGTGCCCTTGTGCTGATGTTCACCTTGCAGGCTACCCCCCCCCCGGCCATCTTGTAAAATACGGTGATAACAGGATGCTGAACTCAATGGGCCTAATCCAGCAGGGTCGGCTTATGTTATTATGTATAGAACAGTGTAGTACTTGATCTAACAAATACCATTTTTATATATTAAAAAAACAACTCACAGGGTGACGCAGACCTACGATGCTGGCGCCTGTGTCTATTTCTATTTGGGCTTTAACTACAGAGGATTAAGCGACCCTGTTCACGTTTATGAAGAAATAGAGGTAATTGTAACTCTTTGTCGCTTTCATGTTATGTAATACTTGGCTGTAGTAACTCATTCACTATAACAAGTAAAACTGCAAGTTAGAGGCAGACACCTTGTGGTCAGAGGTTCCGCTCATGAGATCCTCCCACCAGGAAAAAGTGGGGAACTTTTCTGCCGATTGCTCCCCCCCCCCCAACCCCAAGAAGCTGCTCCAGAGGGCTGGGGAAACCTACAGAACAAGGTCAGCAAGGAGAAGTGTGTGGAATTGTTGTCCCCCACCCCACCCCTTTCCTCAATTCCACGAACAGAAGGAGCCCTTTTTGTAGATGGCTCCAACCCTGTATATGTCAATATTCCAAGCTGAGATGCTTCCTTATCTTTGCCAGCCTTTGAGAGGAGTTGTACCTCCTTCATTTATGTAGACTTCCAGTAACGTGCGGTGGAAACCTATCCCCCAATAGGAGGGTGGGATACAACTATTTTGCAATACGCAAGCTGATTCTAAACTTGGCAGAATGTGTAAATAATCTCAACTGCATTGTGTTGTTTGTTTGCTAGTATTTAAAACGAATGAAAGGTGTGTAGATTGTCCAGATTGCTACATCAACATTGAGCTTAGTGACTAATTAAGTTATTTGCATTCTTTAGATGTCAGCTAGAGATGAAATCCTTGCTAATGGAGGAAGCCTGTCACATCATCATGGAGGTAATGTTTCCAGTTGCTTACATAAGCAGTGTTTGATACCTGTTTTTGTTAAACCTAGCATTGTGGTTAACCTAGCATTGTGCGGTTAAACATAGCATTGTGGTGCTACTCGTGTTGTGCAGGAGAGCTTTGGGAGACTTATTATGAACACGACTTTCAAGGTTTTGACGTGGTTAACTTCTGTGATGATCCTGAGTTTGGTTCAGTCCATGTTTTAAAGCGAACTGATCTGATTTGCATTTCATGCCCTAATACCCAGAGCCATAACACATAGCTATCCTTCAGATTGCACACTTCTCCAAATGTTGCGACACAGTTAAGTAGTAGAAAACGGGATGGAGCAGACATATGACTGAACAAATCTGTGAAACTAAGTGATTAGAAATAGACCGATACTTCCAACTCTAGGTAACGCCTATTTTAAGTGGTTGTCAGAAGAAATATTCTCCTGCACGCCAGCCAAGGGGCTGCCGATGAAAACCTTTTTGCATCAGGAAGGTGGCTCAGGAGCACGTTAAGGCAGTGCTTCTGGATCTGCATGGACTCCCTAATGGTTTCTGAGCACAAGTTGATATGGTAGCATCGGTAGCTAGTTGGCACTAATCTCCCTCCTTTCCTATATGCCATCATTATAACTGCAATATGCTAAAACCAGTGGTCTGACAGTTCTCTATCAACCCTGTGCTGTCCATGTGACTGGCGAGGGTGTAGTGGGAAGGAAGTGTCTTGGAAGGAAGGTAGTAGTATACCCTGAGCTGCCTAAGCCGTCACTGACTGTTCCAAGGCTGCAGTATTCATTTTGGGGTTAGGCCATGTGGGTGTCTTGCCCCTGCTGTCTCATTGGTTCCTCTGGCCCTTCAAGGCTACAGCCTGACCACTACAGCAGAGAGCACCACACACCAGAAACATGAGACCCAACGGGCTGAGCCTTGAGAATTTCTGTACACGTGTTTGAGAACAGTATAGCTCAGTCAGTAGAGCGTGAGACTCTTAATCTCAGGGTCATGGGTTCAAGCCCCATGTTGGGTGAAAGATTCCTGCATTGCAAGGGGGTTGGACTAGATGATCTATGTGGTCCCTTCCAACTCTACAATCCTATGATTCTAAGAATCAGGATAAATATATAAGTATATACAAAATGTCTTACGGTTGCCTGTCCTGATAGAAATATGGCATGCAATACCGTTGCAAAAACTGAACGTGGGAGAATTTACTAGAATGGTGTACAGTGGTACCTCGATTTTCGGACATCTCTGTTGCCGAACATTTTGGTTTTCGAACGCCGAAAACCCGGAAGTAAATGCTTCCGCTGCATATCTGTTGTTTTTCACACTTTTCTCTGTTGACTTGGCAGACCGCCCTTTGTGCCTCGGTTTTCAAATGTTTCGGAAGTCAAACTGTCTTCCAGAAGGGATTACATTCGAAAACCGAGGTACCACTGTACAAGGAATTATGAAGTCAGTGGCTACAATCCCGGCACCTTGGGTGCTTTCCCCCTCCATCTTGTAAATCGCCTTGAGATGGTTGTTTAGAAGGCAATTAATAAATCAATGGTGGCAATCGTCTTCTATGGCGTAGATCACATGACGAAGCAAGCTTGAAACTCCCATTCCCCTGCTTTGCCAATGGCTTTTCTGTGGTGATCTGATCTAATATTGTGTGTTAAATTCCTCCTGTGTATCTTAATGTTCCTGGAGTTTACTGTTCAGGATTAAACTGGTTGTATCCTTTAAAAAAAAAAAAAATATTATTTACTGACCTTCAGGCCTTCCCATGACATTCCCAGCATTGGTTTTTAGTTCCTCTGTGAGGAAGAATATTGATGCAATTCCTCTTCAGTGTTTGCCCTATAATTGTGATTAATAACAGTTGCTTTCACTATCTGGAAACAGACAGCCTGGTTAGTCTGCCTACAATCATGTTGTGATAAATGGAGCTATTTTAACTCCGGTTTTGTGTATCAAACAAAACAGATGTAGTCTGAGACTTGGGGCTATAAGGAATATAAAGCCTGTTTAATTCAATCTTCATGGTGTTTGTTGTTTTAAGGAAGGGACCGAATAGTTTATACAGCAGAGTTTATTCTAGAAACTTAAATAGTTACCATTTCCGCATGCAGCAACTGTTCACTCTAAGGGACATGTTCCTGAGGAGCAGCCACCTGCTGTGGAAACAAAACTTAAGAGAAGTCGCTTCAAAAAAAAACTTCACAAATAAACCAATGAAGAACAGTAAAAAGGTTAAGTATATAGGTAGCTCGTTTAACCTAAAACTCATTGAATGCCAGCCTTCAACAAGAGCTAATGATAGAGAGAACATGGCATAATGGATATGCAGTGTCAACTAAGGGCTTGAATCAAAATGTTCAGCGAAATTCTCCTTACCTTTTTCCATCCAATGGTCCAGGCGCTGATATGTTCTCCTCTCCATCCAGTGGGAGAATATTTTCATCGATTGGGGCAACTAGGGTGTACTTTCCACCCTCCCATGTAGAGCCAGTCTGGACTTTTTCTTCTTCCCTTCCATGCCCTCATCACTATTCTCCAAAATGCCAGAAAAATAGGGGAGTGTGGATTGCGGACCTTTCTATGTCTAAGGCTTGCATTAGCAAGTCTTATTTCAAACCACAGGCTACTCAGTGTTGCCAGTCGCTGATACCAGTCTACAGATATGTGCTGGGGATTCACCTAAGCAGTCCCATCAGTGGAATCCCTGAGCAAGGACTTCTGCTTCTGCAATAGTCCTCTCCTCCCTGCCCCTTCCCAAAATTGGCTTGGGGAAGGGATTGGGACAATGCCTAGAACAGTGTGTGTGCGTTGTAACATCTGGCAAGCTGGAAGAGTTTGGTGTTGAATTGCACCGCTCAGATTATGCTAAGCATAGCAGAATGTGATAGCACAATTTCCAATTGATGATCTGGAGTATTACGAGTATAAGTGCCCAGAAGGAAAACACCATGTGTGGTGAAAAGACTCTCAAAAATCTACCAAAAGTTCAAGGTTCTTAAATACTGTTAGTGATTAACAGTGGTGTCCAAACTTTTTTCAAAGAGGGCCAGATTTGATGAAGTGATGGGCCATGAGGGCCGGCCAAAGTTGTTGACCTTTTTTAAGGATTGAAGTTGTTGAGGTGGGTTTTTTTAGGATTTTACCCCAGGAAATAAACTGCCACAGGGGCTGGATTAAACAGACTGGCAGGCCGAATTTGGTCCCCAAAGAGGACTTTGGACATGCCTGGATTAAAATGTCTTAGGCTTCATCATTTTGTGCCTGTTTCCACTGAACAGATTGCTCAGCTGATTTGTGCACACGAGGTTGTGGTTAAAAGCCATTGCCCCCCATTTAGGTGATATTTATGGGTTAATTGGACAAATGGTGGTTGTGCATTTTCAACCTGCAATTGTAGTTTAGAGTCTCAAGTCACCTAACTATGACATCAGAGCAGACCAGCTAATGATATTAAGAGGCAGGGAAGGCAGGTGAAAGCAAGTATTGCAATGGATAACTAGTCAGGACTGCAAATGAGCCTAAATGCAGCCTGTCAGTCATGATAGGCTCTACACTAATTATTGCAAAAAAATACTCAATTACTATGCTACAGGTTGACTTTCAGGCAAAAAGCCTACAAGACAGAAGCAGATCTAGATTAAAGGCACAGAGCATGAATCCTTCATGCTGGTTGACACTTGCGTATGTCAAGCACCCAGCGACTGCTGCATGAACAGATACTTTGGATCTGTGAAATAGCCATCACATATCAGCTATCCCAGAATGGTCCAAGGGAGTTTGCTAGTAGAACGTATTCACTGAGAAGTCATGGATTTATGCAGCCAGGTGGACAGGAAGTTTGTATATCTCTAGCTCAGTGGTAGAGCACTTGCTGTGCATGCAAGAATCCTTGGCATGTTCAGGTAGGAATGAGAAAGTCTCCGTGCAGGCCAGAAACACCGGCGAGCCATCTGATTCAAATATTCTTTCTTTGTTCCTCAAGGAAGACAAAATGGTGTTGCTCCTTTTTTAAACGAAACCTTGGTTAGCCATAGTTGCGGTAAGCGCTAAGGACATGCAGCTTTTGTAACTTTATGGAACAAAGGGGTTAAATTTTTTTTATCATCAAATGCGTTCATAAAGGACCACCAGTGTCCGCTGTACGGCTTCTCCTCCCCCCTCCCCCCCCGGCTTTCCGGTTCGCTAATCAAATGTATGTTAGATTTATTATTGCAAAAGTATAAAGCATAGAAAATGTGACAAGATAGATGTGTAAATTATCACTCTGACAGAACTAATGATGCACTCCGAGCACCTTCTGTTTTCAAGCACTTGGTGAGCGACTTCATTAAATATGCAATGGCTGTTTGGTGCAGCGGCTGAGAGATCAGTTCAGTCCCTCGTGGAATTGCATTATTACTGGAGGTGGGGGAAAGACAGGCATTCTAGCTGTCGGACATCCTGCTGTGGCTTTAATGTGCTCCATCTTGTTGGACCAGTTGTTTTCGGTCTTCTTGAGACAATTACATCCATAACCACAGGATACGTTCGCCGAAACAATATTACGGATAATAGCGGATAATAGCATAGACTATTCATTGTCTCTTTAGCTCTAACTGGAATGTGGGTGGTTGGACATGAGAGATCTCTGCCGTCCTTGGAATGTCAGCCTTGCCAAATCAAGAATAGGAATATGGTCACAGGAAAAGGCCCATCTTTTTCTCACGAAACGTGCATTTTCCATACTCTCTCCAAACCACGCTGCTTATACGTTTGAGGTTGCCATATCAATTTGATGCCAATAATTGGCTTGTGCTTTTGCCAAATACTTAGAAAACAGATCAGGCTTTTTTTTTCTCCTAGCCTACGCTGTTCAGTCAGCTCTGCAACACGGTTTGTATTCCTCAGAGAGAAGAAACAAAAATGCTCTGCTCTCCTTTGGTAATCCCCATCATTAATTATTTGAACGACACTTTAGGTAGAATGGGCCATGCAAGATGGGTTGAATTTAGTTGCAAATACGTGGAAGAGGCAGGGGCTGTGGCATATTGCCTTATACAAATGGATCATGCCCTTTGTTTGTTTGTTACATTTATATCGCAGCCTTCCTCCCAAAGGAGCCCTGGTTGAAGCTAGCAAATACAAACGGGTGTCTGCCTTGACTTATTCAGTCAATAATTAAAATACTTAAGTAATTAACAGCCATTAAAAGACACAACTGATGGTTAATAATAATAAAAATCTGTACTTTTATGTTCGAATGTTGTAGATCCACAACTGTATTTGAATTGTTTTTATTGTTTCATCACTTGCTATTGATCGCCCTTGGGCTCTTTGGGGAGAAAGGGTGGGGTATAATTTTAATTAATAAAATAAATAGATTATCATTGAAGTCAGAAAACTGAGTTATGATATCCTAGGCAATATGAGTACTAAGTCGCACAAAAGTCCTGGCAACTGTCATGGCGATCTTCGTTGTACACATAGTTAACAGCACAATCGTATATACCGTATTTTTCGCTCTATAACACGCACCCGACCATAACACGCACGTAGTTTTTAGAGGAGGAAAATCCGTAGGCATGCCACCCGTAGGCATTTCCTCCATAACACGCACAGGCATTTCCCCTTACTTTCTAGGAGGAAAAAAGTGAGTGTTATGGTGCAAAAAATATGGTATGTTTACTCAGGCGTAAGTTCCATTGAGCTCAGTGGAGACATCCTTCCAGGTAAATGGCTATAGGATTGCAGCCTTAAGTTCAACCACCCACTTTTGTGAGAAACGTGCTTCCTGGCATGTTAGCCAGATTTTTTTGATTATTATTTTTTAGTAACTTCCTGCGGCTGCATCCACTTTGTGCATGTTTAAGTGCTCAACATTTAAAAAGCCTCTTTGTATGAAAGCCTACATATTTTTGTATACATAAAAAAAGAGTAAGCCTTAGGATTGGTGTTTCCTTTGCCGTATCTCAAGATATCCTGCTCACAGCGTTCAAAATATATGCAGCTCTAATTTAATTTTTAATGTGACGCACCATCTTGGCCTAAACTTTATCTAAATTTCATACTTTGTAAAGAGAGTAGGCAGCGTGGAACACAGGCTTCCTCTGGGAGTACATCGAGCTTAATGAGCTTGATAGTCTGGTGGGCTCAATAAATCAAATAAAGCAAAACATTTCTCATTTTTGAATAAAAGCATTTATCACCCAGTGTTTGTTCATTCATGGTCACAAGATTGATTGGCTCCTGCTATTATGGTGAATATTAAAGACTTTTTTTTTCCCCTTCCCTTTTTCTTTCCAGTGGGCAAGTTACGGAAGCAGTGGCTGAAAGAGAGCATCTCAGATGTTGGCTATGGGATGCTGAAATCTGTCAAACAATTTGTGGACCCCAATAACATCTTTGGAAACAGGAACCTTTTATAAGCCTGGTTACTATCCAAAGTGAAATTACAAAAAAAAAAAAAAAAAAGCGATCGTTTATGAGTCTCATGGCTATCCCAGTATCCAGATATAGCGTGGACCCAATTTGAAAGCTGTTTACTCCTTTCATCTTTAATTTTCTTCAGTTAAATGTGATCATACAATTTACTCATAGCACACTTCCCACAGAGTACTCCAAAACGTTTCTCACACACAACCAGCCCAAAGTATACTAATGTCAATCTAACTGATAACCTGTTTGGATGGCTTCCCCTGCTATAGTGCAAGAATAGCCAAGGCGGATACTAAATGTTTGTCATAGGAGACGTTCTTGACAAAGCAGCACTCCTGAGAAGCAGATGAAAAATGGGTTTATATTTCTATAAAACAGCTTTTCTATTGAAATTTTAAACAAACAGGCAATGAAATTTATACCATGCTGCAATTTTTTTAAAAAAACAAAACCCGAAAATAATTTTGGATTCCTAGTTCCCCCTATCTGGTATTACTGAAAGCATTAGTTCACAAAGTGTAGTCTCAATAGCATTTGTAACTTAATGTTCTGAACAATACTTACTGACTCCAAAAAGCAAACATTTATTTTTAAATACAGAAAAACACACTTGATCTTTGTTAAACAAAGTGTAGTGCTTTCATAATTTTGCCCTGCTGATTCTTTTACAGGGCAAAATTTCCCAAGTAGACAAATGGTCCTGTTAATTCTGTTTCACCAGAAGTGTAATTTGGCGTTTTGGCCATTTCAATTCTGAAACAGTCTGTTTTAAATTTTGACTGCTAGCTATGAGTGTAATCATTTAGTCCACGAAAATAAAATGTCATGCTTTTCTAAACAGTATCAGAAAGCATTAGAATGAAACCTACCTTAGAATTGTTAAAAATCATTCTGTCTATAAATACCTACATTTTTAGGCACCAGTTCTTATTCTATATATACATCTGAAAAAACTTTAAACAAAAATATCTGAAATTGTGACACTCTCCCCCCAAAATAACGTTTATGTTAATGTCTGCTAGCAATTGGTAACAAATGTGAAGTCTGAATAGATCTGTTAAACATCCTGTTCTAATCTGACCACTAAATTTTTGCTGTTTAATCTTAACCCAGCATGTCAACTCAAAGCAGTGTATAGTCAAATCATAGCTACTGCATTCATGCCCTAAAGCACCTTCAAAACAGACCCAATGCATAATATCTCATCATGACGATTGTCAGTTTGATATTTGTCTTACCAGAACTCATGAATGCAATCCAGATAGTCCTTTTAAAAAATTAATCCACAAGAGGTTTTTTTTTTAAAAAAATTGCAGCGTGATAGGCCAGAACAATTACTCTCTACTAAAGTCTGTACCTATAGTAAACATTAAGACTGAGCACAACATTAAGATTTTTGTTTCTTAACCGTGTACAAGGTATCCTCATTGGCATCAGTCTGGTTACACCAGGGTACTCAGTTTTGTTTTTGATAGGAAAAAGAGTGTTTTCATGTGCCTAATGAGCACCATATCTAGGATCAGATGTTTGTTTCAGGGAATAAAATTGCCTTTTTGATAGCAAAAGTTTAATTTCCTGATTATTTTTGCTTGCTCTGACCAAGTTTATTCAATTTCCAAATGTGTAGTTTCACTTATGGTGCTTAATTGATTTACTTAATTATTATAGGTTTCCTAACCCTTTGTTACTGAAAATTGCACAGGGAAATGCCCTATGGGGATATTTTTCATAAGTTTATAGATAAATAGATGACAAGGAGTGTTCAAATCATGAAGTGTAAACTTGTGTCTTGTTCACACTGTCCTATCTAATGAAGTAACTGGGGGGAGCTGCAAGAAGTGGATAGGTTTCGGGGGGGGGGGGAGATACAATGCAGATTACTGTGAACATATTGTAAATTGCTTTACTTACATCTATTTTGCTAGACCTTATTTCGTTTTCTTCCTTGTTGAAATGGTTAAATTGTTTGGAGCGTTAGCAAGAGCACCTGTAAAACATATGCAAGTGTGTGAGTGCTAATTCAGAAGACTGAGATGCTCATTAAAAAGTGAAAATTTTCAAATAGAAAGCTATTTACAGTGTATTCATGACGCACCAACAGGGCCAAAAGTATTGGTGAAGGATGCGCAAGAACATCCATTTAGCTTTCTCTAATGGTGAGTTGCAACATCCTAGCATCTTTTGACTGACGTTGTAAGACTTGAACCACTCACTCTTGGCTAGGCTTCCAAAGGACCATATATGTGCAACCATACACAATGCCAGCATTCTTCTGGCCTTCAGGAGTGACATCTGGGAAGAGATGGCAGAGAACCCTCCAGATCAGCATCCAGTGTGGTGCTAAAGGTTGACCAAAAATGGAGACAGGTATAAAGCTATTTTAGAGGCACACACTTGGCTTTGGGATGCCTGGCCATAATCTGAACCCTCCTGACCATTCATTTTGCTGAAGGTTCAAGATATCTGCAGTATTGCAGTGCCTCATGGTAGGGAGGATCTGGCATGCAAAATGCAGCCCTGCTTTCCATGCCCTCCTTTCCATCTGACCAGAAGCAAACGAGAGGGGTGACCTAGAGATTCTGTGTTCTTGCTAAAACCATTGGAACTTCTCATTGAATGCTAAGCTGGTGAAGCAGAGCCTTTCTTGGTTGCTTTAAGTAGGGGATGTGTAAAAACAACAACACACCACTGCATGCTGATTGGCAAATCTGAATTCCCAGCGCAATGCTGTGAGTGTCTTCAAATAAGGGGCGACTCAAATCCCACAGGACGTACATAGTGTAACTCTTTGGATTCCTAGGATTTTTTAATCTTCTGTTTAAAATTTGAGCGTTGTAGCTGAACTGTCAGTGTGATATCTGGGCAGAGCATAATTCCGTTTGAAATATGGCATAGTTGGCCATATTTTCATTTACTGTTTTACTCCAATGCCACAGTAATGGGCAGGATCCAAAGAACCAGGAAACTTATTCCACGCACCTGAGGCCTTGAGTGGTGCTTGCATGCATGGAGAATTGCAATCTGTTTAAATCTGTTAGGAGTTTCAATAGCAGTTTGTGGTGCTGTGAAGGGGAAGAGAATCTAGAATCCCACGGGTGATACGTGAGCTGTGTTGTGTGCTTTTAAAAATCTCTTTAGGTCCTGGCTAAAACCCATTTTCTATTTTGGCAGAGTTCACACCTGTAAAACATGTTACTGACTGTTACATCTTTTTGCAATGGGGTTAGAAGGTTAGATGCAAGGTTCTTGCCAGTCCATAGGTTTTTTGGTTCAGAAATCTGTGGGAAAGTTGGGTTTCCTTCTTAGGAATTGTTTTACACTGAGGGTGTCTCTTATTCTAAGGACCAAACCAGGTTACGTTAAGTGTGTCTATGCACGAGAATCATAGTGATAGTTTTTAATGGCAGTGGAGTGGGCAATGTAGGTCTGGACTGCAACACAGTAGAGAGCTAACCCCTTCTGCTACCACTGCAATCTCAGTCCAAATCGGAGTCTGCCACAGCTGCATTTTTGTTGTTATTATTGCACACGCGAAGACTTATGTAACATAACAACTTTGGGGCCCTAGATGAAATTCACCAGTCTTGTCCACTAGAATACTAACCAACTAAAAAAATACAATTGAGCTTTTGGCTCATAGTGGGAAACCATGTTTATCATATACTGAACAGGAAATTGTACAACCACAGTTATAATGTTGAGATTATAAAAGCTTATTAATCAAACAAAATGTTCCTGAAATTTCTCCTTAAGCCGATTAAATTAATACTTTTTCAAATGGCTGGTTGTTTTTGATTCATTGCCAAGTAACCAGAGAGGCTACAGCAGCACCTGAAGCTTTGGGCATCTTACGGAAATAAAAAGCTTAAGGACGTGGTTCTGTAACATTAACTGGGTAGATATAAGCTCAGTTTTGGGGGAGGAAAGGAGGAGGTTAGACCAGGCGTAACCATGGAAGAAGACAGCTGTTTTCAGGTTTTAAGAGTGACCAGCAACTGGTGGTCACTAAATATCTTGGTTGATGAGGCAGCCTCAAGAGTGGTTGGATTTCTCAGATTTTCTTTTTTGCCTACCCTATAGCAGTCCCAGGGATCTATATTAGCCTGGTACGTTTTGGTGCAACAATGGAATACATCCTATGAACTATGCTGTTTTTGGCATTAAACTTGATTTTTGTGTGTGAGATGGATGGGCACATATGATCTGGGGTGGTTTGGCTTAGCAGTGTAGGCTCGCCAAGCAAACCTGCAGTTGTTTGGGGTGGACACAAAAAGGGGAATAGTGTGTGACCTGCGCAGTCAAACCTCGGTTGTCGAACTTAATCCTTTCCCGAAGCCCGTTTGGCTTCTGAAATGTTCGACAACTGAAGCACGGCTTCCGATTGGCTGCAGGAGCTTCCTGCACTCAAGTGGAAGCCGCATTGGACGTTCGGCTTCTGAAAAACGTTCGAAAACAGGAACACTTCTGGGTTTTCGGCGTGTGGGAGCCGAAACGTATGGTAACGGAGGCATTCAGGAGCCAAGGTTTGACTGTATCAGCCTCTCTAATATCTTCCTCCTAGTTCAGGCAGGCCAGCACTTATATGCAGCCTGTGTGATTATTATGCCCCTGCACTTTTTTTATCTTTGCTACTCAGTAGCAGGACAGGCAATGGAGGTTGTTGTGTAGTGGACAAGGGCCTCAAAACCAGCAGAAGGCCCATCCCACTAACATTCCCATTTCACACAGAATATCCTAGAGGATTAGATGCAGCCTAAGAGTATACAAGGGACACAGGTGGCGCTGTAGGTTAAACCACAGAACCTAGGACTTGCTCATCAGAAGGTCGGCGGTTCGAATCCCCGTGACGGGGTGAGCTCCCGTTGCTTGGTCCCTGCTCCTGCCAACCTAGCAGTTTGAAAGCATGTCAAAGTGCAAGTAGATAAATACGGGTGGCAAGATCCTGGAGGCAACACTGCTCAGTACTATATTACTGAAGCTGCTAAGATGTTCAGGATCAATCCATCCCAATAAGTATGAGTGCTGTCCCGCTCCGGTTGTGCCTATTAGCTGATAGTATATAAACTACTGAATATATCAGTTTAAACTTCAAACCTCACCAAATAACTACACTGGGAAATGACTGGCGAGATCCAGAACAGACAGTTGGACAATTGTAATGTGTTTGTCTGGAAGGAGCAACACAGGAATGGGTGAAGGAAAACAGACACTTGATGTTGACACGGAACACGATGCGAGTGCAATTCATCAATCCTGAACAGATGGAGCCCTAGGGAGCCAGAGGCAACAACCTGGGCCAAATACAGCAATTGACCTTTATCCCAAAGGCAAGAATGACGAGGGTTTCATGTCGCAAACTTCATTAGGATAGAGAGATCCAGGGAACCCCAACTCCCTCAGCAGCAATAGCTTTCAAAATGTGATTAGTACATTTCCCCCCTCTTAATTGTTTTTTATTGAGTTTTGATACAGAAAACACCCAAATAGCACACAATAAGCATGGCAACCTTTCAATTACAAAACTTGCAAATGTAAAAAGTCCATAAACCGTGTCTCTCTGATCAGGCCATTTGTCTTCTGCTATCTTCCGACAACAGTGCCGCTGGTATAACTGATGCATGTTTATGAGAGACTGAAAGGAGGGGGTGCCTACAGAAACAAGGGGAAAGGAGAACCAAAAAGAGCAGGAGAGGGAACTCTAGTGACTGCGTAGGTCAGGGATAGGAGACCTATATGTTGGAATGGTGCATCCAAAATACTATGCAAAGGGTTAATGCTGTAGTATAGAATTTTGTGATCACACATGCACACACAGGCATTTTTTTCAGTTCAGTTATCAGCTGTGTGAGTTTTAACTGAGTTTTAACTGTGAGAGCAGCGTTTTGTGCTCTGCTGCTGCCTGCCTCAGAGCCAATCCGTAAATATCAGTCCGTTCCCGGATACAAATTCTTGTAAATATGTTTCAGTAAGGTAAGTATCACCTGCCTCTCTTCTACATTCAACCTGACGAGAGCAAGTACAGCAAGCAAAAGTCATATGTTCCTTTTAAACTTTGAAAGCAAGTATTGAATGGTTGTTTTTTTTCTGGGAGAAAAGAGAACTATAACTTTTAAAAAGAGTCAAACGACATGGGGCAACTTCCACACTAATAATAACACTTTCACACTTATAATAACAATAATAATAATAATAATAATAATAATAATAATTTATTATTTATACCCCGCCCATCTGGCTGGGTTTCCCCAGCCACTCTGGGTGGCTTCCAACAAAACACTAAAATACAATAACCTATTAAACATTAAAAGGTTCTCTAAACAGGGCTATAGCAGCCAACAGATGAGAGCTGGGGGGCGGGTTCCACCATTAAGAGCTACCTTTGAGAGAGGACTCTGCACTTTCTCTGTTCTTGTTTTTGTTTATATGGTTTTTTATCTTGCTGTATTATGAAAAAGCTTTAATAAAATCTTTATTATTATTATTATTGCTTTATTTTTGACCACAGCCTGTGATTAACACAGGAGTAAAAAAAGACCAGGGAGGATAAAAGTGGCTGTTGGCATCTCTCGGGGAGCCTGCACATTCATGTAGGTCCCTGTATGCCAGGGGTGGAAAACCTTTCTTTCAGGCCACATTCTCTTCTGGGCAACTTCCGTGGTGCTGGGTGGCAGGCGTGCCAGCCTGGCCCCGTGACCATGGGTACCATGCAGTGTGCATGGCCCTGGCAACAAAATTTGTGGGTGCCCGTGCCCTTTATGGTAAGGTTACCAGACGTCCCCGTTTCCCAGGGACAGTCCCCAGATTTACAAATCGAGTCCCCTGACAAAATCCATCTATTTAGTAGGAAGTTGAAAAGTGTCCCCAGATTCATTGAAAAAAATCTGGTAACCTTACTTTATGGGGAATTCCGTGGGACCGGGGAGTTGGCACCTATGGCTGGGTGGGTCAGAGGGGAAAATAGGCAGAGGAATGAATCAATTTTGTATTGTTGTTGTTATGTAAATTTTCACACCGCCCTTCGTCCGAGGATCATGGGGCAGTTTATGATATAAAACCAGAAAAATGAACATATCTTTTATGCTAGGCTAGTTTCTACACACACTCCCACACTTGCATATCTGTCCTCCATTAAGACCAGCAAGAGGCATTGCCAGGGTCCAAAGACAGATTCCAGCCAGGCAAAAACAAGGGTGCAAACCAGAGCTAGTGAGGGGTATGGCCTGGGGAAATGGGTGTGGCTGTGGAGGGGGTGTGGCCTAAGGGCCAAGTAGGGAGGCTTGGATGGCTGCATTTAGCCCTGGGCCTGAGGCTACCCAACCCTGCAGTATGCCATAGTTTGGCTTATTTTGATGTGCAAACCAAAGAACCCCCTGAAAAGAGAGTAGCAAGGGCTTTGAAGTTGCCCATCAACAGCTGACTCACAGGTCACCTGGTTCCAGTTTTCTATTTAAATTATAGTAGCTATTTCCAAATCATGTAGCTTCTGCACATTTTTTGTGTGTATGTGTGTAAATCCATTTTGTTTTGATGATACATTTGCACTTTTTTTGGTGAGGCATAAGAAATTGAAATAAAAGAACAAAAGTTGCTACTGATATATATTGGAAATGCTGGGCCTTCTCGTGTGCTTTTCAAGTCTTTAAAATTTGACTAGCACTAAATTACTGATTGAGCACCATCACTATATATTTGGAATCCTTGGTTGAAGGCCCTGTCAACAAAAGAACTGCAAGCCTGCTTCCTTCTTTTTAGAAGCTTAAGATAGTGGTGTCTGAAAGCTTTGGAAATCTCAGTTTTTGAAAATAGCTGCTGGTTTTCCAAAACCCTTTCACTTATGGTGTTTTTTTCCATTTATTTCATTCTCTGCACTTCAATAGTTTTTCTCCATTCATGCTGACTCTTTAACAGCTGTGGACTTCACATCCCAAGTGTGGGGGCCTGCCTAGCCTGGTCTATATTTTACTTTCACCTACTTTTCTGGAAGCAGTAATTCTTTTTTGTTTTTCTTCTCTTTTTCTATGCTTCCTGAAAAAGGACATTAGAATTTAATTTATTTTCAGACCACTGTATCACATCAGTCTGAGCATGAACTGGCAGTAAACATTTCCAGCTGTAACAGGGGACTCATCCCCTTCCTTTGTTCCTCCTTTGCTTCCACTTTAGGAAGGCAGGCAAGCTGGCTGACTATAGAATAAATTAAGAGGAACAGCATACTAAAAGATTTATTAATAAAAGTGATTTGGGATCCAGTCTGCGGTGGCTTGGCTTTTTCTAGTGGGCCAATTGCAGAAAATAAATGTATGTGTTTTGAAAACTGTATGCTTCACTTTTTATTAAATTTGTCATACAAATGTGTGTGTGTTCTTTTGACGGTACCAGCAATGAGGACTATTTTTTAAAAGGCCAGTAGGAGACATATCAGCTTTAGGTGAGGGGTAATGGTTTTCTGGGCATAAGTGTCCAGCTGTGTTAGGGGTGGTAATCTCACCAAATGGATCTTCTCAATTATGGATCTTCTCAGTCTTGCTTCCCCACGGCTTGGTGCCTTGTGCAGGGAAACCACCCAGAGTGCCCTAAATTCAGTGTTAGCTTTGTATGGTAAACTGGAAAGGGTCTAAACTGTTACATACCCTTCAACATGCTTACCTTTAGATCTGGGACATGGCCCCTCTCCCATGTGATATCATGGAGCCTCAAAACATGTGTTTTGGGGCTCCGTGATATCACACAAGGTCACACAATATCACACATGTTTTGGCTCTGTGATTGTGCGTTTTG